AAAACAAAAATAGAATTGTCTTAATACTTTCAGCACTAAAATCACAGAGTCAAACACATTGTTATTTTTTTTTAGGACCGAATAACAAAAATCTTCATTCACTCTTTATTTTCATTAATTGACTTTGAAATTCACTTACCTTGGATTATGACGAATGCTCCTCATCACCATTGTGTAGGCAGCATTGCGACATTCATCATTCACATCTGTCATCAGCCTCTTAAGATCAGCCTGAATAAACAAAAAATCAGGGAAAATTGTAACACTGGCAAATGGAAAGAAAAGGGTTAAAATTAAAATATAACTTGGAACCAGACGAAAAGCATTAAAGAATGGAATGATAGATTAACTGAGAGAAAGAAGTGAAATTGCTTTTAATAATTGGTTACTGCAGACTCTGCATGTCATAAAATAAACAGTCTTTTTTGTTTTTCTTTGAATAGAAAGAAAATTTCAGTCTCAATTGTTTGAAATTTTGAGGACATATTGTTTTACATTTTTTGAAAATTTTGATTGCCGTGAAAAAAGATTATCAAATCAATGTTTTAGTCAATCTTTTCTCCAGTTATTATCAAATGGTGAGAATTTGAAACAGATTAGTGAATCAAATGAATCCTGAATTTAGATCCCAATTTATTTCTTTGTCTTGAATCCTTAAAAAGAATCTGCTTGCAACAGAGAAACAAAAAAATCAAAACTTTTTCAAAAGTTGAATTTCTTGATTCGCCAAATGTAGATCTTTCCAGAAGAATCTGCCAAGCAGAAAGAAAATAGAATTAAAAAAATAAAAACACCAAATTTAGTCTCACCTGAAAATGATCTAAAATATCAACCTTCCTTTTTGATGCTTCATCCAAATCTTGAAGAACATCCAATACTTCTGAAAAATTTTAAAAAATGACCAAAATATTAAGTTTTGGCCAAAATTTAAGAGGATTGCTGGGTAACGAGAAATTTCAGAGTTAACGCTCATTAAATTAATAATAATAATAATAATAAAAAAGTCAAAATATGGACTATGTACTTTGAGTTTTGTGGTTATTTAAACAACAAAAATAATGTCTGAAACATGTATAACAATATTTGCAATTTCTCCTATCAAAAAGTTTTTTTTTTTTTTTTTTATAAAAGTAAATCTTGAAAATTTACTCTTCAAAGAGTAAATTACTTATGGATAGCTAATTGGTGAGAAAGCTATTTGATGTTAGACAATTTATTGGAGCTCCTGTATGTGACTAAAATATAGAATCATAAAAATCTGTTGCTCCCCCCAGGATGTGTAAGTAAACAAGTCTATTTGCCACAAAGAATTGGTACCAATTTGTTACAAAGGATAGAGTCACATTTGGCTGGCTGCCATTTAAATGAGGACATCAAAAAGTAATACTGATGGCTGTCACTTACAATAATGTGTTTTCATTGCATTTGATTGGGTTTTATGTTTGCAGATTTTCAAACATTTTCATTCTTAGAAACTAGATATTGAAATCAATATTTTTTCTAAGAAAGCCACATCAAATGGCAGACTCACTTCAACCATATAGCAGAGATTTTTTTTTTCCAAAAGAGAAAATACTCTCCCTTCAAGACACTATCCACTGTGTGTCTGGCAACTGACATGAAAGGACTTGTAAAAGTTATGGAGAAACCTTCAAAGTCTGTGCTAACAAAGTCAAACCATGTCAATTGATAGAACATTTTTTTTTCTAAACATTTCCATATCAATAACAACAAAACAAGTGAATGATTTTTTTTCAGAGCAAAGAAATGTACAAAAAAAGATATGTTTTTGAAAAGAAGTTCAAAGTCTTAAAGTTTTAACCTTTACAATCTGCAGGTATAAATGTCTGCTGTTTTTCAATATTCTTTAGGCAGACAGGTTCATTGATTGACTGAGCTTTGTTTCAAAAGGAAAAATACATTTCTAAAAATAACCTATTACTAAGGAAATGATATGTCATTAAGCTTTTGATATGGATCGGGAATGACTGGATGTCAGTCATTTTGTCCTAATTGAAATAGTTGTTTTATCAGCAAATTTTAAGGAAGTGTTTTAAAAATGTTCATTTTTCAATCATGATGGCGACCCCGGGGCAAGGCAGGTATCTTTTATGTCAATAGACGAACTTTTCATGGATAATGAGAGTGACAAAGAAGAATTTCTCAGATTTACCCAAGCAGATATTGGTGATGTGCGTGAATGAGACAGAAAGTGATTCCAATCAGGAAGGTAGAATTTTCAAACCATCACAAACATACAATCACCCATGGATACCAGAGTTTTCCCATACTCCTGGACCTACAAATGTTAATCAAGACGCTAATGAGATAGACGTTTTTCATCTTTTTTTTTATCTGACATAGTTATTCAATTAATGGTAGTGGAAAATGACCAATATGCAAACAATGTGAAAACAAAATTAGGTGACACAGCAAAACCCAACTCACAAATCAGAGCTTGAAAAAAAACAAAGTGACCTTTGTATTTGTCTTATTGGGCAACAGACCCCCTTTTTATATATGCAAAGCTTTCACAATGTGATGAGTAGGAATCATTTTTTTATCAATTCTGTCGTATTTTTAGTTTTTATTATTTTTATTTTTCTCAAAATTTATTATATGTACAGTAAGAAAATATGTCTACATTTTTCTGAATCCTTTCATACAAATACCCTGAAAATTTTATAACAATATCTCCCTAAAAGCCTAAAAGTTACAGTGCTAGTAATATAACAGTCACTCAAACACTCAGCACACCCCAAATTAATATCAATCCAGAGGATACAACACTCAAAGTTAGTATAGAGTTGTAAAGGTTAAAGAAGACAAATTTCTTTGACTTTCCCTTTGATAATTAAGAAAATGAAAATAAACAAAATTAGAATTTTCCAATTCATTTTCAGAAATGGAATTTGATTCATTCATGGTTTAAGATCTGCAAAAAATAATTAAGACAAACGATTCTACTTTTCAATCCTGCAATAGCTAAAAAGAAATTTTATTATTGCTATGGAGATTCTAGACTAAAGTCTGTTTAATTGGTAAAAGATTAGCAATTAAGAAGAGTGACTTCCCCTTGGATGTGCATTTTGGATAATGGCTATCAACACGGAATTGGAAATTGTAAAGCCGAGTTTGAATTCCAGTTGGATTTGTTACTTTCACTTACGTCCAAATAACCTTGGGAAAAAGTAGGAATCTATCTCTCCTCCCTGGGTCCTTGGTTGGCAACCAGTCTACAGCAAAAACAAACAGCAACCAACTGCATGAAAAAAAACTTTTGCCTAGTCAGCCATGAATTGAAAGAGACATGATCCCCCAAGCATGTATCACAGAAATTTCAACCCAGAAAATTTTTGCAAATTCCAATTTGCTTCTGGATTTTGTTTATTTTTTCTTTACATTAGAAATTTGTTTTGGTTTATTTTTTAAAAAAGAAATGAATAATATTTAAAGTTACCTGATTTGGGTGAATCTTTGGCAAGTCGAGCAAAAAATGGTACCAGTTGACTAAATGTCCAAGGAGAGCTTGCCCTGACATTGACAAGAAGGGGTCCAGATGAACTTTCAACTTCTTCCAACTCATTGGTTTGTTTCGTCAGTTGCCGAGGTAGGGACAATCCAGCCAAAAGAGACTTCAGAACAGACAGATCTGGATAATGATTGGAGACAACACTGGCAGAAAAAAGAAGAACGACAAACAAAAAATCAATACCAATGCATAAACCTGGTTCAGGTGCATGAAAGAAGTTTTGGCCTCACTCGCTTCCCAAAAATCAGAAGTTTTTATTATTTTCTTTTTTTTTTTGGAGGTGGGGGACTTTTCAGCACCCCCATGATATTATTTTTGATGATTGCTCTGTACTTTAAGTCAGCTTCCAAACTTTCAAGAATTTGTACAATAAAATTCCTCTCTATATTTCTGAGATGAGGTATTGTAATTATTTACATTATTTGGACTGTTGTCCTCATGGCCCAGTGGATAAAAGTTGTGCATTGGTGAACAAAAACTTGGAGAGTTGGATTAAAGATATCCAGAAGAGGCATGGCACATGGAACTAGAACAATCTACCCCGGTGGACAAAATAATGGATTCAGTTCAAAAATCCAATCATCTGAAGAAGGCCAGAGTGTACAATGGCCAAAATGTTGCAAATATGGCAATAAGGATGAGGACAACAGTCTGAACAATCTAAATAATAAAATTCCTTTTATTGCCAAAATTCTGATCTATTTTCAAGAGTCTTTCCATAAGTTGTTGACAGCATTTAGGCTTACATCACAATTCAGGAAAAAGATGAAAGATTTCAATAAAAGGTTGTCAAAGTAAAACATGCTTCAAAGAAGCCCCCCCCCATACACACACATTTGGAAGTTGAAAAAAGAAATTTTTATTCATTTTAGAGAGAAAAAAAATGTCTCCGATTAAAAGCTGTCCAGTATTTTTATCAAGAACAACCCTAAGAGTCATCTGTTTTAACTATAATGTACTAAAAATTGAAAATCATCTTATTATCAATAATTGAACTCGATCATTGATTTACACATTACAGATTATAATTAAACTTTTGCTTCTCTGCATAATTCATTGAAACAGGCAGTTCAGATTTACATTTTAAAAATTGTTTCAAGGAAGAAAGAAGCCTGTGCCATTTATATAAAAGGGTAATTTTGATGTGTGGGTACAAGGAACATTGACACCCCCAACCCACCCACACATACATGTGTGTGTGTATATAAAATGGGCAAGCTGATTGTTCCTACATATTCACAGCAAAGGACAGAAGTTGACTAATAATGTATCTTGCCCAAAGGCAACTGGGAAGAGGACAAAGCAAAGGTATGAGAGAGAGCAAGAGATGCGAGAATAATTTTGTAACTCACCTGAGAAGGTCAACATATTTTTGTAAAATGTGCACAGCTCTCTGAGGTTCATGTAGCACAAATCTATGCAGAAACTGGATGAATGTTACAATGATTGTGCTGATGTTTTTGTATTCTTGTCCGTGTGACTAAAATAGATGGAAAAAAAAGTTTTATTTGCATCAGAAAAAAGTCCATTTTGAAAAAAATAAAACAAAAAAAACGAAAACGAAACAACTTTTGGATAAACCCATAAACATTTTATGATCTATTTGGTGTAGAAAATGATGAATGCTTCAAACAAATGCAAGTTTTGCACTGTAAATTCCTAAGAGAATAAATTGGGCACTTAAAAGACAGTCTCAATGAGAAAAACAATTTTGTGTATTGGACAATTGAATCTCTTCTTCATATATTTGCTATTGGTGACATGTTTCAACCAACTCAATGTTCAGCCATTGTCAGGTGTAATCCATAAGAAAAAGAAAACCTTTCTTATTTTGCTGTTCCCTGATGTAAAGAAAGTTTTTTTTTTTATATGGGAGCTGAAGAATGGATCAGTTGAAAGGTGTTAACAGCAAGAAAGAAGAGATTTTGAATGGCTAAACAATGTTGGATGATGCAGTTTTGTGCTTTTCCAAGAATCAATCTTAAATGAACACATCATCAATATCTAAATAAAAATGGACAATTATCAATTCAAACCAAGGTGATCATTAACTACACCCGTACAGTGTGTATAGATCTTCTCTCACTGGGGGTCAAACAATTAACACACAAAAATTTGTTGCTGGAATTGAATGAAGAAATTCATTTTTTTTAAAAGAAATTTTTACTTTTTACCTTTGGATTAACTTAAGTTTATTATTTAAGATACTGAAGTAAGTACAATGTTTATTTATTTGATTTGAACTTGCATGTTTTATCTTTAAACAAACTTTCTTGGTGTAAAATTCACAAGTGTCATTAAGAATTTTATTAAAGTTAATTTAAATTTAATATTTTTCTATATGCTATTGTTCTTTAACAGTAAAAAATATTAAGTAAAAAATTAATTTATTTTATAAATAATTTATGTTTTTCTTTAACAGAACAAGCAGGAAATTTTTTTTTTTTAAAAAGTATGTTGAATTTTTCTGTCCTTCATAAATAAAGACATTTTAAAATGTTATGTTTTTCACTGCGAAATTAATGAAAAATGAGTTAAAAATTTAGTTAATGTAAAAAATTAAATTCAATAAATTTATTTTACAACTATTCTTAAAAATATACCACAAAAATGTAAAAGAAGACATTATTGTCTTGCAAATATCGTCTTTCTCTTTTTTACATTTTTGTGATTATTTTAAACAGCGAAATTCACAAAAAAAGTCATTAAGAATTTTCTCAAAGTTATTTTAATTTTTTCTTTATGCTATCATTGTTAATAATAATGAATATCTTGATTATGAATAATTTGTGTTTTCTTTATATGTGAAGTATGTTGATACTGTCTTGTAAGAAAACAAAACAATGAATGTAACTTTTCGTACTGTTAATTTTCCCAAAGTATTATACAGAAATTTGAGCATTTGATAATATTTGAATAAAAATTTAACTTAATATTTTTTCTATGATATTATTCTTCATAATAACAAACGGTTTTTAATTCTTTTTTTTAAATAATTATTTACAAGTATTCAAAAAATGTATTAAAAATGTAAAACAAAATGAAGCAGGTTAATATTTTTACACTATATATTTTTAAAATATACTGTAAAAATATTAAATAATCTTATTTCATGGGGGAAAATAAAATACAATTATCAAAAACTTTAATAAGGGAGATTCAGTTTGCTATGTAGCTTCAACAGAAAAGACACCAGTGAAACAATTTGGAAATCCTTTGAAACCACAGAATTCCTTAAAGATGATAGAAAGTAATTAATCCTGTTTGTTAATTACACTGGTAGTAAAGTGGGTGATTGATTTATGTTGATTTTACATAGTGAACTGAACCCCCCTTCATAAAATTTAAACAAATAAACAATGGATAATAGTAAATTGAAAAAGTTTTTCCAAAAAGCTCAAAATAAAATATTTATATTGGGAGGTGGGGGGTGTAAACTAATTACAATTGTCTATGACAAATTCTTCTTGAAAAAAATGTTTATTTTTTTAATTATTTTACAGTATATGTGATTTTTGCTTCGTGAATTGTTTAAGATGGAATTTATTAATTTTAAAATAAGTGTATTTTTCCAAGCAAAAATAAAATATTTTGTGCAACTTAATCACTCAAGAAATTTGAAGCATTTGTTTAAAAAAGGTTTGTAACAATGAAGTCTTTAATTCAAACAGAATGGAAATATTTCCAACAGAAGATTGCAACCAAATCTGATAAGAGAAAAAACATGAGAAAAGATTTCTGCAAGAGAAATTTGAACCTTGAAGGAAAATTTACCTTGATAAGAGAAAAATAGGCTTCAAGCACATCGTCAAGGGCTGTGTACTCTTTGCGGAAGATGTGAGGCTCCAGTAGTTCAAGAAGACCAAGAACATAAGAGAAAAGCAACAGATAATTCCGTGTCTTCATTTCTTGGATGGAGAATTGAGTTTTTCCTTGCAGCAAGGCAGCAATCAATGGTAACTGCCTGTCAAAGCAAAATTATTTATATTTAATACTGACATTATTAAGAAGGATTTGTGAATCAGGTTTATATAGAATCAGACCATAAAAAAATTCCTGTATTTTAAGCTCAAAATAATTTCCATTGTTTACAGTTTTAAATTCTCATTTGTTTACCTATTTATGCTTTGATGAGAAAACAAATATTTTTCATTTCTTTTGTGAAAGACAATCTTCCTTGTGACAAAGATTCCTTTCTGCTTTTACTTCAACTCTTACATATTGCAATGATCATTTTTATGGGGAAAGAGAAGTTGTTTGTGACTAAATACTAGCCATGGCAGATACAGTGTGGCTGAAATACCTGCCACAACGGTGAGACATCAGTGGCAATGGTGTCTTCATCTAGCTAATGTCTTACCATTATGTGGGAGGTATTTTAGCTGCACTTAGTATATTTTAATAGTGCCTAAAGTTTGGTCATTGGCTTTGAGTAACAGTTTCTCATTATAGAAAAGATTACTAGAGCTGTGAGTAGTACATGTGTTTTGGGGCAAGTGTAGGAATTCTGATAGCTTTATGCACATCACAGATAGGTAGGTACTAACAAATGTATGAAAATAGACGTTATAAAAGGCTTGACTGCATGACACTTAAAGGAAAAGTCAAAAGGAAAATTAGTTTACAAAATAAAATGATTGGATGAAGACAACAGGAAAATTGAAACCTTCATTCAAAAATATCATGACACTGAATGGTATAATCGAGTAATATAATGAGCTGAAGACCACAGGGATTTTGTCAGGTATATGAACAAAACTTATATCTGAAATGTATGGCATTTGCATTGACAGAATCTGATGTTGGATAAAGACAAAAAATATGAAAATGTATTTTTTAGGGGAGTAGAATTGAAGGAATTTAATCCCATGTTTTTTAAATATGGAGTTGGTGAGAAGTTTCCCCATCTTAATAGATGAAGTGATATTTTTAAATCCAGTCTGTTAAAATTTGCACCTTGTTTTTTGCCCAACTTACCTGAGGATAAGCAAGGGATGTTCTGCTGCTAGTTTCCTTCCTGCATTGTTTGCATCATACATTCGATTCTCAGATGCTTTGCCTGGCACTGCATTGCCCAGACCAGACAATAAACGATGGGAAATCAGATCCAACTGCAAAAGAAAGTTTTTAAGATCTTAATGATTTGGATGGATGGATGTTGGATTTAACGGCATGTCAACTCCTATTTCTTAATGATTTGGTAAGGAACAAAAAAAATTTAAAAAAATAAAAAAGTGTTTGGGGGATGTATTCAGATATAAGCTAATAAGGAAATAGTCAAATATCATCTTTGCTTTTTACATTCCAAAAAATGTCCTTGTTACAGGAATCTTAGTCTCCTTGACTACACACACAGTTGTTACTTTTTCTTTCTTTAACATTCAATCATTTCCCAGAAGATTATAGAAAGTATCATAGGTTTGAGAGTATCCAAAAGGGATTCAGCATAATATTTTTTTTTTTTAGCTATCTGCCTCTCCCAAGAATTATCTGTATGCTTATTTTAATTTCTTTGTCATTTTATTGTTTTCTTTATTGTCATGCATTGATTCAATTGTCTTTTTGGATCCACATTTCACTTTTTTATTTCCAATAAATGCATCAACTAGAAACCAATTAATTCAGATGAAAATATTTATCCTTACTGTTGGGGTTTACTAATAAAGCATGGCCAGGACAATTGAAATATTATATGTCCAACATGCTGGTATAATAGACAGAAGGCTTATTACTAATAACTCCTTAGGAATCCAGATTGGTTCCAAGGAACAAAATACTCCTGCCCAAAGAAATATAATTGTACCACCCACATCAAGCAACAGACAAAGCCATTCAATTTTGACAAGGTACTCACCTGGCTTGTGCTTCTCTGGGTAGTGTAAGTGTCATTAAGGAGAAGGCTGGTGTCCTGTAACCAACTGAGTAGGTAGGGGTACTGGAGGTAGAGTTCTAACAATGTGTGAAGATAGAGCTTTGAATAAGAGCTGAGGAAAAAAAAATGAAAAATAAAAAATAATGTGAAGACAAAAAAGAAAATTAGGGTTGAAAACAAAATTTTACAGAGATGACATTTTTATAAAGACTTCATATTTAAAAAGACATTCCTAATAAATATTTGTGAAGTAAAGCCTCTGTATACTTTCTTTTTTCAAAAGACACACTATTTACATTATACAAACTATTGTCCTCATCTTTGTTGCCATATTTATTACAACGTTTCAGCCATTCAGTATCTGTCTATATTTCTGAGATGAGGTATTATGTACACTATTTACATTATTCAGACTATTGTCCTCATATTTATTACAATGTTTCAGCCTTTCAGTATCTGTCTATACTTCCGAGATATTTACCTTATTTGGACTATTGTCCTCATCTTTGTCACCATGTTTATCACAACGTTTCAGCTGTTGTACACTCCAGCCTTCTTCAGGTGGTTGAAATGTAGAACTGAACCCTTTATTTCATTCACTGGGGTAGACTGTTCTCGTTCCACGTGTTATGTCTAATGGATGTCAGTTATCTCCTGTTAATTCCCCTCTGAAAGTTCTCTACTGCCTTAACCAGGTATTGAACTCACGCTCTTTGGGTCCTGTCACTGGATCTAACTAACGCCTTTATCCACTGTGCCATGTGTCCTTGTGATAAACATGGCGACAAAGATGAGGACAATAGTCCGAATAATGTAAATAGTATACATAATACCTCATCTCAGAAATATAGACAGATTTTCAAAAGATCTATTATAGAAACTGGACTAGCATCTTCATCTCTAAGGTTTTCATTTACTCTCTTGAATTATTCAAATGTATGCAAGAATATATATACACTGACAAAAATTTTTACAAAAACTATTTGAACATTTCAAAGCTGAAATCTTTTTACAGTTTCCTGTAGTTAGAGATGCAAACTATTAATTCAAGGATTTTATTACAGGTTCAAATCCTGTTGACTTTAACTGTTGTTTTTTATTCAACCAAAATATTTTATTTACTATTTGGTTAAGTTGCCTTCAATTTATGTCTCATCAATTTGATCTTCTTTTTTTAATTCAATAAGCATTTGAGCCTAATATTTAATTCCTATTTATGTATTAGACGTGTATTTGTGGGTAAGAAATACTTTGTTGAGTTATTTCTTCTTGATCTAATCAAAATGGCCAATGTGATCTTGGCTCTTGTTCTTTATCAAACAGACTTTAAAGAATGAAAATACATTAAACTAAAAGACTAATTGTGTGGAGACAAAATCCCAAATTAATGGTAGATAAGAAGCTTAACACATTCATTGAAAATGGAAAATCCACAGAATATATATTAGGGTAAAGAAGTATGACTAGGGGTGGAAAATTTTTGTTCTTCAGGACTTCATCCAATTAAGTTTATGCTTACATTGATGTGACAACACACACACATCAACGAAAGAGAAACACTGAGAATTTTAAATTTTAAATTTTTTTTTTTTTTTAAATATGCATTTTGGGTATATAATCTGACCAATTTCATTTAGATCATATATCCAAAACACATTAAAAAAGTAATATTAACAAAATCTTAAAAAAAAAATTTGATAAAAATAAACACTTTTACGATCAAATATATTTATTGAAAAATATCATAACTAGAATTATTAGTAATGATATATTGCAGTAGAAAATTTTCAAAAAAAGGAATCAAACATTACAATATTATTAGCTTAGAATATGTTGTGGAAAGAATGAGATTGTTGCATTAATGTATAAAAATATAAAACTTTCAGCATAAAATCAAAATGACTATTGAAACAAAAAAATTTTTTAGATTTCAGCATGAATATTATTTAGTAATTCCTTAGAGATAAAAATATTATCATGACTAATTTTTGTTGTCTAGTATTCCAAAGGATTTTCCTCTACTCATGCAATTTCGTCCTGGGTAAGACATTAAACTACGTCCAGCAGCAAGGCCTCTGATCAGGAGGTTTTGTGGAGCATGGAACCACCTCTTAATTGCTGGTGTTCCCAGGTCCACCTTGACCCGGGGTGGTAGCACCTTGTTAGTTAACTATTACCAGCAATACTTTTTTGAAAAAAAATTGTTACCAGCAATACAATTTTGAAGGAAATATATTACCAGAAACAGATTTTTGATAAAACAAAATATTAGCAGCAATAAAAATTTTTGTCGGCATTAAATAACCCATTGAAGTTGATATTCCGTAAAACAAAATAAACCAAACCAAACCAGGCAATTTGTCAAAAACAAAAAACATTAATTTTCTATTATTTTTGAAGGGGGACCTGTTATAATATAAATACATCAAACTGATCCCCGATTTTCTGACATACTTTAGTTTACTTCCCTTTTTGAGGGGACCAGTATTGCTGCTTTAAAATGAAATGTATTATTACTATATAATGTGTGTGTATATACAAATGATCTTCATTTCATTTCCGGTAGACATAAATTTCTTTCATCTACCTCTTTTCTTTGAAAATATATCTGCATAGGTCTCTAGCCAATTTTATTCTTGGAAATCTCCCACAACCACCTTATTAAGAAAAATGTAACATTTTTCATCCTTAATTTTAAGGAAAAAAAATTTTTTTTGAAGTTGATAGCACAAATTGCCATGAACATGGATTGTTTTTTTAAGGGCACCGCAAGATATATATATATATTTATGTGTGTGTGTATGTATATCTGAACAAGAAAGTGTACCATAAAAGAAAAAATAGACATTGTGAGGTTCTTCATAGCCAAGTGGTTAAAGCTTTTTTCAAATATACAAATCGGTAGATGAAATATATACTGTTTAAAATAAATGGAGCGTCTACTCGAATACAGATATCCAATAAAAATAACGTTTGAAGTAGCGTGCCTGTGTACGTGTGAGAGTGAGAAAAAACAAGTCGTGTTGTATTTTAAGTTTTGTTTCTTACCTTGTGTTGAGAGCACATTTTTCCATGTGTTCAACAAGACAACGCAATTTTGTGTTGTCATTACACAAACAGCATTTCAGCAACTCCACACGACAACTGATCACATCTGCTGCATCAGTGGACACTTTTTGTTCGGCAGACTGGTCATTATGTTCACTGGCTTCTTGGACAATATAATCAAGGACAGAGGACAGTTGGTCAACAGAGAGACCAAGAACATCTTCGGGAGGTAAGTTCTGGGAGAGGGAGAAAAGAAGAAAAAAAAAAAAAACTTTACACTAGACATGTTACCATGAAGATTGTGATGATAATCCTATCATCATCATCATATTTATAACGATAACAAAAAATCAATTGGTTTTTACAGCTTTCCAACTTTTTGCAGTTTTTTTTAAAGCTAGAAAATATTTTTAGACTGTAAGAATTTTTTGGTGATAATAATGATTTACTGATACAAGTGCTACTAATTAACCCATAGTTAAGAGGAGATGAAGTAGATTTATACATTTCTCAGAGATATTTGTGCATAAGTGAATATAATGAACCCAATTGGAATTGAAACTCAACCACCTACAGATCTAAGCTTCCCTGTTGGTCACTCATCTTGGCTTGACATCATTTAACTCTGGTGATATTATGTGTTTCAACATGATATGACTTTAAGCCTGATAATAGAAGAAGACTACACATACTACGTTATGATGTATTGGCAAGTAATAGAATAGATGATATAATTCCTAAGAGAATTGTCTCTATCACAATTGTCAAGTTTGAAAACACAAGTAAACCTGATCAGAAGAGACAAAAAAATCATTGTAACAATGGTAATAAACTTTATAACGGCTTAACACAATACAGAGCAACTGAGGTTGTTTTGATAGAAACGTCAAAAGCTAAACCAGATTTTTTTACATAAAAATCACAGAGATAATTGAATTAGTGATGGTAGAAATATCTGTAAATTGTGCATTGCCATGACTGCTCTTGAGAAAGATGGTGAGTAGTTTGCTGTTGGCTTTCTTAGTTTTCAATTCAGAAATGTCTTAGACTGGCTGCCACGAAAGGCAGTCCTGTCTACCCGGCTATTTCACTTACAGCTTTAGGAAGAAGAGAGGGATCCGGTTGGATTGGGATCAGTAAATTTGTCCAAAGATTCCATTTTCTGCACTATTAACTGTTATTTCATGTACACATCCAAGTCAATCTTTTAATGCTATATTCCTTCAAGTTGTGGATGATCAAGGCTTTCCACACCTTACTTTTCTTTATTATCTGTGAAATGCTATGGCTTTATGCAAGAGATAGCAGAGTAGTTTCCTATTGACTTCTCAATGGTCTTGAATTCAGAGTAGTTCATCTCAGAATGGTTGCCATGCAAGTCTAGAGATCTCACTCTATCCTGCTGTTTAACCCATAGAAAATGATGGGTTCATGCCTTTCTCCCGATCGCTTGCTTGCTAATTCTCTAATTCTGCACTACCTACACATTTAATTCAATATGAGTGCTACGTCCAGTTCACACCCCTTCCTGTTCTTTTGAACAGGAGTAAAGGTTTATCCCTTGTTTCTTGTTTAGGATTGGGTTTTCAGTTCCTTTTAAATTTTGTTCATTTGCTTATGTTTTCCCAATAACAATAATTTTGACCTTTTCAAGTCTAGAGGTAGTCGTTATCTTTCCTGCATAGCCCCAAGAACTTTACATTTTGCCCTTTCTTATGCTAATACAACTCCACACAGTAACCCTCTACTTTGAGTGGCTCTTGGGCCTTGTATTGTGTGAACAATAGTAAAAAGAAAACAAAAAACCAGGCAGGTCAGCATATACTCCAGCTAAATATTATTTTATTGGTTACAGCTTTTAATCAATCCATGACAATCTTTGAAACAGTTTACAGTTGGTAATTATTAATCTCAAAAGTCTGGCTGAGGACTATTACACAGTGACATGTAAAATATTACAGTGATTTCTCTTCTAAAATCTTAGAAAAAAAAAAATATTTAACAGATTTTATCAATAGCTTCTGTTAATCCTTAAAAGGAAAGATTTTATGACCCCTTTTACTCATGATAACCTACACCTGATACCTCCTTTATTTTTTCCTCGGCTGTTTTTTTTTTTCCAGGATAATCAAGAGTTTATCATGATATCCCAAAATGTTGATATCTCATAACAAAATATCTATGAATGTCTGCATGTCTATATTAGATTTGTTTGTGTGTGTAGATAAGAAAAGACAAGATGGAATTATCCAGATTTCAAAAACAAAACAGAAATTTCCTTTAAAGATATGAATGTTAATCACCTTCAGTCCTTTTCTTTCTCGTCCCTGCCAAAGTTTTGGAATGTGGATGCATGCCCACAAAAAATCCAACACAGATGTTGGGTCATGCCTACAAGTAAAATAAAACAGTTAATCATTAGGATTTTTATATTGGAAAAAAACAAAGTTTTTTTTTTTAGAAGATAAACTTGAATTATACATGTAAAATGTTAACATAGATTAAAATTTTTGTAAACGTTTTTTTCCAAATTTTTGCAATTGCAGCAGTCAAGAAACTACCAGCACCAATAGCGTTAGTTATTCTTTAAAGGATTACAGTTTGTCTAAGAAAACAATCAAACAGGAAATATACAAAGAGTGTTCAACTTCTTCAAAGGTTGATGCTCATCCATGCAATAACCAATTATTACAATAACAGTGTGTGTGTGTGTGTGTGTGTGTGTGTGTGTGTGAGAGAATTAGGATCAAATATAGATTGGAATCTGATAGAATAAAATAAAGAGCAAATAGAAAACGTTTATCAATCTAACATGTTTTATTTTTATTAAAGCTTCAGAGAATGAGATGTGGAGAAAAATATTACCAGAATTTCTTTTTTTTTTTTCACATCTCATTCTCTGATGAAGCTTTAATAAAAGTGAAATGTTAAATTGATAAATGTTTCCTATTTGTTTTTCATTATATATATATATATATAACAAAATAAACCTAGCTATTACTATTTTATAAAAGCATGGAAGAACAATCCAGCCAGTAGTAAGCCTACCAAAGAAAAAAACATGACAAGAAAGACAGCTACTTAAACAAAAACTTCAAGTGTTCAATTTCTAGAAATTAGACTAAGACAGAAGCATAGCACTAACAAACATCAAAACAGAGGCTCAGCCACTTCAATCCAAATAATAATTCAAACCACCAGATCTGAAAACTCACAGTTAGGATTTGGATCAGAGTCTTTGAACACGGTTTGTGTGTGTATATCATTTAAGATGACTGACAAGGTACTGCAATTAAGTTTTTTTATTTAATTTTACTTAAGTTTGTATATTTTATTTAATTTTACTTATGTTTTCTGGACATAAAGTATGTAAAAATTGTCCCCCATATTCTATATATACGAGTGCCCTCAGCTATTCCATGTTATAAGGATGTTTTTTGTTTTTAACTGAATGTGTAGATTTTTTTTTTAGATTTCTAAAATGATGGGAATGTTTTGCTTTTTTTTTATTTCCCAGACACAGTCAACACATTGTGGCTTTATTCATTGTTGATGTTATTGAGTATTGGCCTTTTCTTTTTAATTATTAGTACTTTTATTATTTTTAGCCTTTTTTTTTCTTTTTTTTACATATGGATGAGGCTATTATAGTTGTAATTTCTACAAGTATATTGCAGATGGAGTTTGGTACGTTTTGGTGTGTTTAAATGAATCCTAATTGAGCTATGATCAGAGAAGTGTAACGCAAGTCTTATGGAAAGGCAAAAGGAATTTGATTTGATCAGGAACACAATTCCTTAAGGGACATGTGAATTCATAAATAATATTGGTTACCTGTAATTTAGATCTTCCAGGTGAGTTGTTGTTGATAAGGTGAGAAGTTTTAAATTTTTTTACAGTAAATAATTATTTTAATTTTCTTGTTCTGGTTGACTAGTGTTGTCATTTCTTTATAATGTTTCTAAGAGAAAATTCATTTGTTTATAGTTAACATGTATTTGTTTTTTATAGAAAATGTTAATGCTATTGTTTTTATCTGTATCTTCTGTGTTGCTATTGGTTACTTTAGAAAGAAATAGTCTAATTTGGTGATCAGTGAGGTAGTTCAGACAACCGTTGTTAACTCACATACATTTCACGTTATTGAGATCTTTAAAGAAAAGGTAATGAGAGGATGAATTCTTATGTGCTCCCTTGAGGAAATTTTTTTATAATGCCTATTTTATACCTAAGTGAACATTCATTCATAAAATTAAGGTGGCAAGAATTTCTACTAGTGAGTTTTTTGGATAACGAAGTGGTGAATGTGTTACTACAAAATTCTACAAGAACTTCTAAGAATGGGAGTTTATTTTTTGAATAAGTTCATAGGTAAATTTAAGGGAAGAGTTTTTTCAAATGTGTTTTTGAGATCGTTGATTTCTTTTTTGTTTTCAGCTAAGATAATATCATTTACATATCAGAAATATATTTTGTGTATTTTAAATTCTTTGTTTTCTATGTGAATTTTCCATAGTAACATCATTTGAGTTTAAATATTGCCATTATGGTTGTAGAAGGGAACTTAGCAATAATTTTTTTTGAGAATCTTTGGTTTGATGGATGGAGGTGGAATCAAATTATGTTTATACACAGAGTTAAGTTTGGTTTGGTTTGTTTTACAGCATATCAACCTCAATGGGTCATTTAATACTGACAACTTTTTCTTTTTTTTCCCCCTGGTAATATTTTTTTCCTCAAAATTGTATAGCTGGTAATATTATTTTCAAAAACATATTGCTGGTTATAAATTTTTTTTTCTAAAAATGTATTGCTACTGATAATAGTTTTTTTTTTTCTTCAAAAATTTATTTCTGGTAATAATTTTTTATAAAGTATTTCTGGTATTAAAACCTATTTTTACACTTTTCAGTTTCAGGGTTAACTATTTGCCCATAGCTGAGACCCTAACAGGTGCTACCACCCTGGGTCAAGATGAACCTGGGAACACCAGCAATTGAGAGGTGGTTCCATGCTCCTCAAAAACTCCTGATCAGAGGCCTTGCTGTTGAACGTAGTTTATTGTCTTACCCTGGACGCAGATGCAGTTTATCGTCATACCCAGGATAGACAGAGTTAAGGATGATATTGATGATTTCATCAACAAAGATATTTGTGTTTGTTTTATACATCAAGTGACGCTAAAATGTCTTGATTTGGTTGTGTAGTTTAAAACTACTCAATCAAACCAAGGCATTTTACAACATCAGATTGTATGACTCAGCTTTTTCCTTTGTATCCATCAGTGCACAGATTGCTGGCCCAACTGGATATTTTCTTTATTGTTTCAGAATGCATTCTCAAATCTATAACAACTTTAAAACAATGTAATTTGCTTACTTGGTATATTGATTGTTTTGCAACAGTCTGTTGATACACCGGTGAAGGGTGCCCCAGTGACTTTGGTGGGTGAGGAGAGCTAGAAGGTAGGCCTGCTGCTGACGGGGTTTATCAATGCTCTGTTTCTTGCAAAGAGCATCATCCTCATCATTTTCGGTAACTTTCTCGACATCAGGACATTGGTCGGAATTCTGACGCAACGATTTATGTTGTTTAGCAAACAGTAAAAGCAACTGTAGATCTGGGGCAAGGCTAATCACCTCAGGGTCAATCAGTTCCAACCAATCCACAAAAAGACAAGCTGCAGATGAAGGAACTTTCAGTCTAATAAAAACAAGAGAAAGAATTAGGATAAAACATGAGATTTAGAAATGGCACCTTTTTTTTTTCTTTTTTTTTTTAATTACTTTTGCTTGTCAGTTTTTTTTTTGGCTCTTGTTTTTTATCAGATTATATTTAGATGTCATATTCTGCCATTTGCAAATTAAGTTTTAGTAAATTGGAACAAAATAAAAGTAGAATGCACAAAGCAATATTAACATTTAATGGTTGTGAGAACTAGCTTTAAGTGATTATTATCATATGTAAATTTAACTGAGGAACATATGCACACACACTGGTTGCAAATACTTGCACACAAAAAGGCTTCCTAAAGTAAACTAATATTTTACATATGATGTTCTTTTTATTTTTTTTATTAACTCTTCTGTGTATTCGCCAACAAGTAAAATTCCTTTAATCATACTCTGGTGTTGGTCATTATTTCCAACAAGTCAATTCATACCATTTGAATGAAGCAAACAAAATATCACAGTCTAATAAGAGTCTTTATATGTCTTAACAGCCCCCATTAGCCCTTAAATGGAGGTGGCAGCAAGGGAATGACCAAGAATATCAAAAGAAAAGAAATAACTTCCATATTAATAACCAACATCATTCCACTGTTATGCATCTATCCACATGCAGTGTGGTGACATTCAGATCCTGAGGAAGCACACCTGACTGCAGCTGGTGATACCTGATTCTGTGACACTGGGAACTCACTCCCATTTCTTGATCAACCATTTTCATTTATAGCCACAATTATTTATTTTGCTTTACATAAGAAACAGGGAATAGTTGGCTGGTTGTTTTTGTTTAGGGGCATATCAACACCTCTGTGGGTTATTTAATGCCAAAATCTAAATATTTTGTACACAATTTTATTATTTTTGGAGATAATAATGGCTATAGTGATACAAGTCTTACTAATTAACATATGGCTGAGGAGTGGGGGAAGAAGTGGATATATATTATATATATATATATATATATATATATATAACAAACACAATGGAATTGGAACTGTTCTCCAATTAACAATTCCAAACCATTATCCATTACACCATTCAAGCTTACAGCACCTGGGATTCCCAAGTGGTCATCTATTTAGGTTCTGGCCAGGCTTGACATTGCTTAACTTTGAAACACAGCTTCCTACGTGTTCACCAATGTGATGTAGCTGTAAGCCCAACATTGAATAGACAACAGACAGAGACACACACACAACATGTGACAGTAAACATGTTAAAGAAGTTCAGATATTAAAATGCAACAGATACCTCTGGTATTGTTATATTACTTACCCAGATTTATCATCTATTAGCATTCTACAAGCCACTTTGGTCATTGTGCCCATTTGGTTGGATTTTATTTGATTATTCATGCAAAATTCAACCAGGGTCTCCAACCGAGGGTCATTCACCTGGCCACGGTTTTTGAAATCTGAAACAATCAAGAATAGAAATAAATAAATAAAAAAAAAATAGAGTTACTGTAAATGATCAAGCATATGAACAAAAGTTGAAGACTTCAGATGAAAAACAAAAGAACATTACTCTTAAGTGTGTGATTAAAATACTATTTACTTAGTTTAACCCCTAACTTTGTGAGGAGTGACAACTTTTCCAGACTGAAGACAGCTGTTAAAGCAACGGCCAGGAAATGTACAAAATAAGTTCTGGCAAAAATACATTGGCAGAAGCGAAAATTAGAAGTATGTGACATTACTCAATACAGTAACCGTCATTACTTGACCCTGATATTTTTCAGCTTGGCAGCCATTAGTGTTACAGGATCCCACAAGTGTTATGCATCAGCTTGACTTCATGTTTTACAAGAGAGACCCCTATTGCACAAGTTTCTTGCTGACTCCAACTACATTATTCTTCAGTGAGGGGCATTTGAAGTATTCAGGGTTTTATGACTAATATCCAACCAGTTGCAATCAGATTCAAGGGTATCAATCTTCAGTCCTGATATCCAACTGATCTCTGGTTGATATCAAAAGGAAACTGGCTTCAAGATTGAAACAAAGACTGTATCTGCTTCCATCTGATAGTCCCTTACAATGAAACAGAGAAGCAACTAAGTCTGGTGGTACTGTGAGGTACTGCTGAGGTACCCTGACTTAATGGTAATGATTTAATGTTGCCGTAAACCTAACTGAACCCAGTTGCAACAGTTATTATATACAAGGTGTCCCAGAAAAAAAAATTGACATCATTTAAAATGTGAATATCCAAGTAACTACATGTCCCAAGCAAACAAAATTAACTTGTTCTTATTGAACAATAAAAGATCTATTTATCAAAATTCAAACAAGAAATTCAAAGAAATGTAGATTTTATAAGTGATTTCACAAAACTTCACAAATGTTCAATATATGCACAACACACATCAAGTCAATAGTCCAGCTCCTGCCAAATATGCTGTAGCATGGCTTGCGTAACATTCTCTAGCATTTCAGTGATTCTCTGCTTAAGTTCCTCTAGGCTTTTAGGAAGAGGGGAGTTATAGACCTATCCTTTCACATAGACCCATAGGAAAAAAATCACAAGATGTCAAGTCAGGTGAATGTGGGGGCCATTTCAATCATCCTGGGGAGATTCTCATTGAGATAGATACACAAATTCAACTATAAAATGATGTCAATTTTTGGAGGACACCATATATATATATATATATATATATATATATATATATATATATAGATAGATAGAGAGAGAGAGTGAGAGTGAGAGGTGGGAGGATTATAGTTGTTCAACACAAGAAAAGTGTATATTTTAAAGAGAAAAGAGAGTGTTTTTGGTTGTAATGTGGATTTTTTAGAAATATATATTATACTTTATTTTCCATATTTTTTGCTAGATGTGTTTTGTGTCTTGTGATCTCCATCAGGCAAAGAATGGTTATTTCCACATATTATTTAAAAGAATTGTTTTATGTTTAACCATTGTCTTTTGTGTGTGTGGTAGTAATACAAGTTCTTCTTGGAATGGTGGAGAAAATGTTCCTCTGCTTAAGGAGTAATAAAACAATTAGGATTGGTCAGAGAAAGGGGGAAGGAAGGAGGTCTTTGTTATTATTTTTTATGACCTCTGTATCTTTTTAAACCTATATCCATTTATGGTGTGTGTTTGCTAGTATGAGTATATATGTTTAATTACAAGGAAATAGTGTGTGTGTGTGTGTGTGTGTGTGTGTGTGTGTGTGTGTGTATATATATATATATATATATATAATATATATACACACACCCACACACTTTGTATGGTGTGTAGGGTTCATGCATGTGTGGTTCATCTAATGTGTTTGTTTTTGCTAGTATGTGTGTATATAGTCATTCTCCATACATATTTGTACAGTGATCTGACTAGTGTGATCAGCCACCATGTGTGTATGGGGTGGAGGTGTATTATTTGTTTAGTGTTGGTTTAAATTTGTCTATGAAGTTTTTTTCTTGTATTTGTAGGTAGGGATAATTGAATTGTCTGTAGGAATTGTCTGTTTGATATATTGGCATAATTTTAAATTTACCTTCATTGTATTTGTGAATGTGTTGTGACACGAAGAGTTTCCTGTTGTCTGATAATTTAATGTTGCTTTTGTGAAGGGAAACTCTGTTGTTTCATACTTGGGTGATACCTATGTAGGACTTGTTACATGTTTTACATTTGAGTGCATAAATCACATTTTTGGAGTTGCAGTTTAAGTTTTTTTATTGTAAATGTTGTTGTAGGGTTTTCAAAAGTGTAGGAGTTTCTATAACAATATCACAAACCTCACATCTTGTTGCATTTTGTGACCCCCTGTATTGTATGTTGGCTAAATTTGGATGAGGTTAATATGTGTTTTAAGTTTTTTTGATTGGCATTTGCTTTTAGTTATTTTGTTTGTTTTCAGTATATATTTCATTTTAAGTGGGTCTAGATTTCTTGTCATTTCTGTAAGTAGTTCTAGCTTGTTCTTGTTGTATATTGAGACGTTTGCTAAAATTTGTTTGTCATTGTGTTTCTTTAGGTTTTGTAGTTAATCTAAAGGTATTTTTTCAGCTAGTTCAAAACCTTTATTAGTGGTGTGGGGTAGCCTCGTTTTTGAGAGTGGAAATAACTATTCTTCACCTGATGAAGGTCACAAGTCCCAAAACTGGTGTAGCAAAAAATATGGAAAAAAGTATAATACATATTTAAAAACATTGTAGTCCCTTTTCTTTTTAAATTTTATATATATATATATATATATATATGGTGAGAGAGAGAGATATAGAAAGAGAAATACATATGATGTGGATTTATAAATATGAATTGTTATAAAGGTTTATAGAATTAATCATGATAGGAGAACATGGTGAAGGATGTTTGTTTTTTAATTTCTCACCAAGCAAAGCTTTGTCTTCACAAATTTCTTTGTTTTTATCAATAAGTTCTTCAGCAATTGACTGTACTTCAGCTTTGACTGCCAGTTTTGAAGATTGACGTTGATAACTGACCATATATTGGTTGACCACTGCAGTCACAGGAGATTTCTGGTCTTTACAAAGACTCCACAAAAGATCCATAGTTTGCTTCAGAGATCCCTGCAGTTGGCGCTAAAAAAAAAAAAAGAGGCAATAAAAAAGAGCTTACCAATGACCCAGTATATTCACAGACTAGTAAAAGGAGTAAATCAATATAAAATGACATGCCAAAAGTCATGAGAGAGCAGGATATAAAGTATATAAGGGCAATGATGTGGCATCATCATACTTAGATGGCATGAAAATGCCTAAACTGACCAATATCAGTTTTGCTCTGACATCTGATGAATACCAGCCAAGCTGCTTATGATTGGATGGATGTTGGATTTAACGGCATGTCAACTCCTATTTGGGTCAATTTATGCCGAAGCCTTATTAATTTATGAATTTAAGTTGGTTATTTTGTATAAAAAGATGAAAGGTTGTTGGGTTTCATAATTTTCTGTATTTTTTGGGATTGCTTTTTGTGACCGTTTCTGATTGTGTATTTTACTGTTTACATTCATAGATGCATATATATGTCTATAAGCATATATATATATATATATATATATACACTATTTATATTTTATTGAGGATTTTTTATTTCCTTGAGAAAACTGTATATTTTTTCTGTGTCTGTATTTTTGAATATTTCTTTTAAATCTTTTCCATTGAGATATTTCTGTCTTATTCTAGTTATGATTTTGCATTCTGATAGAATATGTCTTAATGTGATTAGGCTTCCACATTTACATTTTGGTGGATTTGTCTTTTTTTAATATGTGAGAATGAGTTAAATATGTGTGTCCTATATGTGTTCTGGTTATGACAACTTGTTTTTTCCAGTATTTCCAAGATCATTTCCCCATTTTCCTATTTTAGGTTTAATTTGAAATAATTTATTTCGGTTTGGTTTTTCCATAGATTTTGCCATTTGTTTCTTATGTATTTATATATTTTAGATTTTAAGTCTGTATATGGAATTTGAAGATTTTTGTCAATTGTCATTTTTAAAGATGATTTAGCAGCATTATCTGCCTTATCTCCTCCTTGGATGCCAACATGGCTAGGAATCCAGCAGAAGATGATATTTTTTTTTTTTCCATTGAATGTAGTTTATATAGAAGACTTTGTATTAATGGATTTTCCAGTCTTTTCCCTTTTAGGGAGGTTAATACCGATAATGAATCTGAGAAAATAATATAGTTTTTTCTCCTTTGTTTTTGATATGAAATTTAGTGCTAGTTTTATTATGTAGGCTTCTGCACTGAAAATTGATGCTTCATTTGGCAAGCGTTTTTTTGATAATTGTTTCTTTTGTTATTGCTGCGCTGCCTGTTTTTTCTTCGTCTTTTGATCCATCTGTGTAAATACTTTCATAGTTTTGATATTTTTCTTTTTATTTTTGAGAATTTTTCAATGTATGTTGTGGGGTGTGTTTTTGATTTTGATAATTTGTTTAAACTTAATATTATGTTTGGATTTTTGATTATCCATGGTGGTATGTTTGATTGGTTGGTTTTAAGTATTTGATTAGACGGTAAATTATTTTCTTGGATGATTCCTTCCATCCGAGTCCCAATGTTTTGATTTTATTTGTGTTAAGATTAAATTTCTCTTTGTGATTTGGTGTAAGTACACAATCGTGTGTGGGGTTAGAAGGACAGGAAGAGAGTTTTAGATAGTATTGAGTAGCTAGTTTCTCCATTCTTAGTTGTAATGGGGTTCGTTTGCCTCTACATGTAGACTCTCTATAGGTGAGGTGGGATAGGCTCCTAGAGCTATCCGAAGGCCTTCATGATGTATTGTGTTTATTGTTTTTAGATAAGATTTTCTAGTTGATTGGTAGACCATGCTGCCATAGTCCAGTTTGGAGCGGATCAACGTTCTATAAAGCTTAAGAAGGGTTTCTTTGCTAGCTCCCCATTCTGTATGGGCTACTGTTCAGTAGTTGGAGAGCTTTAAAACATTTTGTTTTTAGGTAATTGATATGTGGTCTGAAGGTCAGTTTGCTGTCAAAGATCATTCCTAGAAATTTATATTGCTGAACTACTGGTATTTCTTCATTTCCTAGTTTTAGAGTTGGGTTATTGTGTAATTTTTTCATTTGGCAGAAGTGTACAGATTTTGTCTTCGTTTTTGATATTTTAAAACCGTTTTCGAGTGTCCATTTGTTTATTTGATGTAAACATTGTTGAAGTTGTCTTTCTGCTGTGTTGAGGTTTCTTGATCTGTAATATATTGTAAAATCATCAACATAAAGGCTACAGTGTATTCCTGATTTGATGTTTTTTATTATGTCATTTATTTTTATTTTGAAAAGTGTAGGGGAGAGTACACTTCCCTGTGGTACTCCCTCTTCTTGCTTTTGATAATCAGAACGTGTAGTATCTATTTGTACTTGGAAGAGTCTATCTGTTAAAAATCCTTTTACGAAGTTTGGTAGTCGACCTCTTAATCCTAGTTTATGCAGATCTTTCATTATACCATGTTTCCAGGTTTGATCAAATGCTTTTTCTATATCAAAAAATATGGCTATTAGATGTTGTTTGTTTAAATTGGCCTCTCTTATGGCTGTTTCTAGTCTTATTATGTGATCTATTGTACTTCTTCCTTTATTATATCCACATTGATATTCTGATATGTGTTTTCCTTCTTCTAGAAACCAACTCAATCTGGCGTTGACCATTCGCTCCATTGTCTTACATAGACAGCTTGTTAATGCTATTGGTCGGTAACTTTGTGGGTTGTTTCCCTCTTTTCCTTCTTTGAGTATGGGAATAATTACAGATTCTCTCCATATTTTGGGAAATTTCCCAGTAGTCCAAATATTGTTAAAAATATTCAAAAGGTATTTCAGCGATTCTTGTGGTAGTTGTTTAATAAATTCATAGTGGATTTGGTCTGGGCCTACTGCTGTATTATGGGATTTTTTTTATGGCTTCTATTAGTTCGCTTCAGTGAATAGGTTGTTGTAGGCTTCTGTATTTTTAGATGAAAAATTTAGTTGGTTATTTATATCTTTTTTGTTTACACTTTTGTAGGTTTTGATTTTTTGCTCATTTTAGAGTTTTCTGCAAATGTCTCTGCTAGTATGTTTGCTATCTCTCTTTTGCTAGTTGCTTTAGTGTTGTCCTTTTTAAGATGTATTATTGGGTGTATTTGATCTTTTCCAGCTATTTTCCTCATCATTTCCCATATTGTCTTGGTTTTAGAATGTGTATTTAGGCTGTTTACATATTTTTTCCAACATTCCTTTTGGCTTCTTTTACAGTTTTCCGTGCTACTGCTTTGAGTTTCTTCATTTCAATCAAATTTTGGGTTGTGGGTTCCTTCTTGAATTTTCATAATGCTGCTTCCCGGTTTCTGACTGCTTTTTGGCAGTTTTGTCAAACCAGGGTTTAGTTTTTTATAATTATTTTGCTTTTTTGGTATATTTTCTGAGGCAATGGTTATTAATGTTTTGGTAAAGTATTCTACCGAGTTGTCTGTGTCCTTTGACTGTATCAGTACTTGTTTACATTTGTTTTTGAAACCCTCCCAGTTGGCTCTTTTCAGTTTCCATCTGACGGGGCCTATCTTTTCTTCCTTGACAGGCTTTTGATTTTCTAGAATGATCGGGTAATGATCACTGCCACATGTGTCACTATGTGTTTTCCATGTATAATCCATACAAATTTCTGGATCGCTTATACTTAAGTCTATTGATGATTCTGTTCCATTGGAGGGATTAAGGTAGGTTGAGGATTTATGATTTAATAGACATAAGTTATGGGTGTTAATTATTTCTTCTAATATTTTACCTTTAGTATCTAGCTTTTTGCTATTCCATATAGGATTATGACTGTTAAAGTCTCCTAGTAAGATTCTGGGTTTGGGAAGTTGCTCCATCAAGTTGTTTATTTCTGTTGTGTTTATTGGTTCCTGTGGGGGTATATAAATGGAAAGAATTGTGATGGTTTTATCTAGTGTCACTTGTGTTGCTATTGCTTGTAATTTAGTTTTAATGTGTACTTTGCGGTATGTCATTTCTGATCAATATTGACACTACTCCATTAGCTCTATGTCCTGTATTGTGGTTATAGTGGTATTGTTTATAATTTTAATTTTTAAGTTGGTATTTTCTTGTAAAAAAGTTTCCTGTAAGCAGATGACGGCTGGATACAGTAGTGACATAAGTATGAGTAGGTCATTGTAATTTGATTTTATTCGACAGTTCCATTGCAGGATCTTATGTGCCATGATTATATTTTCATTTTTTGGGAGTAAAGTTACCTACTAGGTTGGTATCATTTGTCCTCTCAATTTTTTTTCCATCTCTTGAGTTTTTAGAAGCTTTGTCTTCAACTGCTTGTGGTGTCCTTGATCAGATTTTTGATTTTGTTTTGAATTTTGTTTATTATCTTCCTCTTCTATTTCTATATATTCCATAGGTTCAAATTTATTTTCATTTGATATACTGATTCTCGATTTTGAGTTAGATCTTGATCGAGTGCTTTCTTGCTCTGTTGTCACCTTTTTTTTTTTTTTGTTTATTTTTCATTTTCTTAGTTTGGGTTTGGAAAGAAGAGGGTTCGCTGGAGTTTTGTTCTGTGTTTTCTTTCCAAAGTTTTTTGCCTCCTTCTGGGTTTATTCCATTTTGATCTGGGTTGTTGAGTTTTATTTTGATCCGATTTAAGTTCGGTTAAAAGGTTTTAATTCTTCAAGGAAAGCTTTTAATTCCTTACATAGATTTGTTATTTCAATTGAACCTTTTATTTTATCTTCATTGTTTATTTTATTTGCTTTTTTTTGTGCCATGGAAGCATATGTGTTTTCTTTTATATTATTTATAACTTCCTTTTCGTGCTTCTATGTAAGATATATTTTTTTGTATTTTATTCTAATTATTTCTTTCTCCTGTTTATATATATTGCATTGTTTTGAGAGGGCAGAGTGGTTTCCCAAACAGTTTGAGCATAGGCTCTCATTTGGGCAGTTCTCTTCTTTGTGTTCTGGTTCCTTCTCACTACATTTCCCACATATTTTTTTTATTTCTACAGGAATCTCTGTGATGCCCAAATTTGTGGCATTTATAGCATTGTAGAGGGTTTGGTACATATTGTTCTACTTTTATACTTTCATATCCAATTTTTATTGAAGTTGGAATTTGGGGGAGTTGAACGTTATAATGTAGGTATTAGTTTGTATCTCAGCTCCATTTTTTTAATTGTTATTCTTTTAACATTTGTAACTCCTTGAGTTTGGAGTTCTATTTTTATTTCCTCTAGAGTGCACAAGGAGAGCTCCTTACTTTTTACTACTCCCTTTGAGTAATTTAGGGTTTGGTGTGGGTAGGTTTTTATTTCTATCTCTTGTAGTTTTTTTTTGTCTGATCAATGTGTCCGCATATTTTTTTTTCTACTTCTATTAGTATTGTTCCATTTTGTAATTTTTAACCTTTTTGGTATTATGATATTTGTTATTGCTTTTTGTATTTTTAAACGGAGAAATTTCTGCTAATGATTTTTGGCTTATTGCTTCGAGTACAATAAACCGTGGGAAGTTTTCACTTTCATTCTCTGTTTCTGAGTCGTTATCCACATGTGGTCTCTTGGAAGATTTCTTTTTTCCATTGATTGTTTTTATTTTGTTCATCATTCTCGCTCCCTACCCACCACGGAGTCCAGATTGGGACAGGTCAAGGGGGAAACCCATTCGCCTTGCCATGTCGGGCTACGTGAATGATATACTCTTTTTGGGAGGAGTCTTTGAGCACGCATGTTCCTTTGTTTCCGTTTTCCAAGTATTACGGCTGTGAAGGTTTAGCAAGTGTGTCAGATACTTTTTTCCCCCAAATTGATTGACCCTCAGCCACCGCCTTCCATCACATATTTAGGGTTAAGTGTTAGTTTTGGTTGGGAAGAGGAGTGTCAGTTATAGGTTTGTGTTGGATTATATATGATGGGGCTTGACATGACCAGCCGATTGATCGGATCGGGCCCCTCCGACCGCCCGTCTAGCCCAGGTAAGGGCCAAAGTGGTGTGTTACAAGATTGTGACCGCTTTACACCTGGGTTACAACCTGCTCAACCACCAGGATCCCGTCCCCAGACATTACAGGTCGCCACCCACGGCCAACAGGTGGCCCCATTGAGGGACTTTTACCCTCTGCAGGGGGGCAGTCGGCGTATTCTGATGCCCCACCGACCGGGCGGGCTTATGATTGGTTTGGTTTGGTTTGGTTTGGTTTACAGCATATCAACACCTCAATTTCTTATTTAACACCAACAAGATTTTTATTGCTGGTAATTTTTTTTTTTTTTTTTTTTTCAAAAATGTATTGCTGGTAATATTTTTTTTTCTCCAAAAAATGTATTGCTGGTATTGAAACTGTTGTAGTAAAGAAAAGACTGTCAACTGATAGTAGCAACTGCAATAGATTTCTTGTTTCTCGGCCGCAATTGCAGTTCACACGAGAGTCCGACGTAACAGTCCAACACACACAGTAGAAACGACAAGATGGGGTCACAAATCCAACCTTAATTTCTCGCCAACAACAACGCGTGTTCGTCCCACAGCTCAAAAAAATCATCTCCTTTTATAAGCGAAAAACAACGACTTCTTTTCACCGAGAGAATTTTCTGATTGGTCACGCCATTCAGGGGAGGGAAGAACATTAGCATAGCTTCTAGTCATTGATGTAGATTTTTGCTGACTACTTTTTGGTAATTTTTCTTCAGCAGATCGCACACAAAACAGGAACTTTTTTTCAGGGTAACTGATTATCTTTCACTACAGAAACCTATTTTTACACTTTCATAGAGTTTTGACCCCAGTTTGTGGGGTTAACCATTTACTCATAACTGGGACCCTAACAGGTGTTAATCCCAGGGTCAGGGTGAACCTGGGTACATCAGCAATTAAGAGGTGTTTCCATGGTCCTCAAAACCTTCTGATCAATGGCCTTGCTGTTGGATGTAGTTTATTGTCATACCTAGGACGAGCTGGTCATGACAAGGCAACATGAAATATCAGAGTTGAAACAGGGCATGGTAGTAGGTACCAGAATGATGAAACATTCTATTTTCAGAACTTGTGGAGACATTTGACTTTTCTTTTTTTAATCATTTCACCCCAAGCAAGGTGATAATGCCACTAAGAAGAAAGGGGTTGGTGGGAGTGAAAGAGAATGAAAAGATTAGTGAAGAGAGAGAACAATAAAACAAAAGGATTCAGAAGATGATGATTGATGTTGCATCTAAATTTTTGAAGAACATAGGTGACAGGGAAGCAAGAAACTGGAGTTCCACAGGCAAGAAGTATGAGAAAAGAAACTATTAGAATAGAACTTACAACTTACATCTATTTTAGCCCAAAACAAGCATTTATGGGACATGGTGAAGAGGCCTATTTTAGATTCTTCACCTACAAATATCAGGAAGCTGTGGATAGCTACTAAGATGGTATGGCTCAACACCTTTCCAAAAGTCTTTGATTACTTGAAGACTCACTACATCAAATTGCTGCACTTTGCTGGGCTAGAGGTGATCATACACAATACTTGCGAACTAACCTATGATTTTTGCTACATCATATTTTGACACAATACAAACAGATGAGTTGATCAATTTTTCAGTTATGTAAATGGAATTCCAATTTTATGGATAATTAAAGGAAATAAATTAATATCATCAGCAAATTAAATCAATGACAAAGATGACAGGATATTCTTACCTGTTTTGCAGTAAGTAATTTTAGTAAAGGACAAGTTTTACTTGTAGCTTTTATCATTTGTTCAACAAAAACTTGCTGCATTGGAGAGGCCAGAATCTGTATACAAAAAGAGAGAAAAATACGTTTAAAAAGGAAAATCTCAAAAGATAGCTTGAAATTGTCAGCCATTTGCAATTTGTGCAAAAGTAACAGAAAAATCAGCACATTTTGCAATAAAATTGATTAAAAAAAAAAAATTCAGATATAAATGATATTTTATAAACATTTATAATCAATTTTCATTATTTTAATCAGTTACTGAAAAAAATGCATTTGTCATCTAAAACATAAAAGAAAATAGTGAAAAAGTATTTGTACTACATTTAAGTTGGCCAGGAAAGCAAGTAAAACTCTTTGTATTCTAAATCATAAAAAGAGAGAGAAAAAATTACCTGATTGAGTGCTTTTGTAACATTCAATGCCATTTCATTACTCGTTGCCAAACCCTGAAATTTCCAAAAAATCTAATTATTAAAATGCCAACAAAAATCTTAAAAAAAAAAAAAAAAAACTTTGAAAAACTGAGAATATAATGTCAGAAATTTTGACTTAAAGTGTAATGTTGTCAATGTTGTTGAAGCAAATGTTTAATTATCTGGAGGCAGCTAATGAGATGTTGTGCAAGAAATGTTTTTGTTATACTTTGAATCAGACAGGGACTTAATAGTCCAAATAACATTAATACAGTTCTATAATTGAACTAAATATCATTCTGGGGTCTCAAAAAAAAACAAAACAAAAAAACAACAATGTCCCATTGGTTCTATTGTGCAAACCCACTTTATGATACTACATCACAAATGATCCCAAGAAATATCTTGTAATTACAAAATAGCCAAAAATGGATTGATCATGATAATTCATGATTTACCTTTAAAATTTTACGGTACTGTTCCTCAGTCTTTGAAATATCTCCACTGGAACCAGACTCAAAGATCTTGAAAAAGAAAAAAAGGTAAAGTCCAGAATATAAAAAAAGGCTGTAAAGTAGGAAGGAGCAAATTAAAACGAACAACAAAAAAAAAATCTTTCCATGCAGAGCATCAGTTTTGAATTATACAAATGTTATTTGGGCTGCCACAGTTGAACAAAAATGGACCAATACAAAATTATCATCATATCATAAAATTTATTTTTCTTTCTTATATGATTCAATACTTAAAGTGTCTACAAGAGTAGAGATTAAGATTTAAAGGGTCCCATCAAGAATCAATGATGACCCAACCGCCTTGTGCAGCTTAGTATAGTTGCAATGGTTTTGCACCGAGCCACAGCAACTCTCTCTTCCTACTCCAACAGTCCCAGGGCACACAAGTGGGTGATGTCTGGTTTGGTTTATTTTGTTTAATGGCATATCAACCTCAATAGGTTATTTAATGCAGACAACATTTCTTGGATAGATTCATATGAATAGAGTATGTATTCTTTGGTTTAGATTGGTTTGGTTTATTTTGTTTAACAGCATATCAACCTCAATGGGTTATTTAGTGCTGACAAAAATTTTTATTGCTGGTAATATTTTGTTTTGTCAAAAATCTGTTTCTGGTAATATATTTCCTTCAAAATTGTATTGCTGGTAATAATTTTTTTCAAAAAAGTATTGCTGGTAATAGTTAACTATTTGCCCATAGCTGGGACCCTAACAGGTGCTACCACCCCAGGTCAGGGTGAACCTGGGAACACCAGCAATTAAGAGGTGGTTCAAATCTCCTCAAAACCTCCTGATCAGAGGCCTTGCTGCTGGACGTAGTTTAACGTCTTACCCAGCATGCGGATGTAGTTTAACGTCTTACCCAGCACGCGGGTGATGTCTGGGGAGAGAAAACAGGCCGCTGGGGATGCAAGATAATACCAGATAGTACTGAATTATTAACTGCTTCTGTGTCCCTCCCCTTGGGTTTTCCAGGCTGGTTCAGAGTTTTACTTCTCCTAGACTGATTTTCACCCAGGGCTATAGAACTCAGTCTGTCCTGCTATTTATACATAACTGGGGGGAGAAAAGATGGATTCATACCTTTTCCAAGGGCATTAGCACATGTGAATGTAATGGATCTGATTGGAATTTGAACTCCTCAATCCGAGCCACTATCCATTACTCTACGATGCCAAGATAATATTAGAATATAAAGAACATGAAAGCTGGCTAAAGCTGTATAAATTTTATTATCATCAAATTTTAAGTCACAGGACACATTTTTTGTAGGTCCCCGAGAGGATGCGGTATTATAGTGCGTGGAGGCTTGACTGGTGATGGACAAGTTTTTGTGGTGCATGAGCAAATTGTAACGAGTGAATGGGTCATGAATCAGATTAGCTAGGTATAGGATAGTCAGTGAAGACCAGCCTAAACCCTTTCCCCTCTTTTCAGCCTTGTGCCATAATTGTATTTTTTATACAATAAATATACATGAAAGCTGGCTATTTAATACCTTTTATACATTTATATCTCTCTCCCATTTTAATAATTATTTTTCTCTTTTTTGAAACTATTCTTTATTTTCTAATTAAAGTAGAAGCTTAAAAATTCACTTTTCTTTTATCAAATTGAAAAGACAATTCTTGTCCAATCCTGCATAGAAAGTAACAAAAGGGGAGAAAAAAAAATCGTACACGTGTGCACGTAATTCAAAGATTCTGGCTGTAATTGTTAGAGAATGCATCGATGACCACGACCACTGCAGACATCCTCTTTCTCCTACTATTGTACAGTTAATTTTAACCTCTCAGATTTATTCCAAAATGGCTAAAATCAGTACTGACACCTGGTAGTTTTTAATGAAACCACACTCACACCAAACAATTTCTATATTAACACATCTTACTGGCTTTTAATTCTTTGCACCTCATTCTATTCTAAATCAAAGAGCAGAGCCTGTAGCCTTTCTCTGGATACTTAGCTTTTCTCTTCTCTTGGTAAGGCAGTCTGGGACTTGTTGTGATGTGTCCGCCTAAGAAATTTTTTTTTCCTGTTTACTAGGTCGCACAGAAGAGCAACAACAATCCATAGTCTTCTGTCTTTGACACTTTTAGGTAAGTAAAATGCATCTACCAAGTAATTTGAGTATAAAGTACCAACCAAACATTTGGTATCTACCAAGCAATCAATTGACAGAAGAACATGATATGCCCCTGAATTACAAAGACAATGTAAACAGTTGTCTCTGCACAATCAATTAATGCTATCTGACAACTGGTAAGATTTTCTAGTTTCATCCATTAAAACATTATGAAATCTTGTAAATTTCAATTGGGGAGATTAGCAAAAAGAGCAGTCAAGTGAACAAAGTTCAGTTGACTGGAGCTGAAGGAAGAACAATTTTTATACTATCATTAGTCTTAAGAGTTATTAACTTAGTCAATTTTAATAAATCATTAACAGTTGCTAGTAGCCTGCGGAATCTTAAATTTTGGGGTACTGTTTAGAGATGTCACGAGAATTAAACCTCCCCCGCCTTTTTTTTCTAACTGGCTTTTATCAGGGCTTACTGCCTTTCTACGATTATCTTTATTGTCAAGAGTTAAATATTTGACCAATCGAAAGGTTTTCATACCACTAGCTTGTATTACCTCGTAGCTCTATTGTATTAGAATTACAATAAAGTATTGAGAAAGAATAACAAAATTAACAGCTCAGTATACCAAGTTTTAGTATCAAACATGTACAACATATTTAATAAAAGATCTACTAGCATGAGCATAATTTTTCTGCAAGGAATTCTACTATGGAAACATTATAACAACAGTTTGAATGTGACATTTGATCACAATTATAATGGACATATAACCAGTCAATAGTATACAAGTTCTATCAACTCAATCATAAGTGACCAGAATTTGCTCACATAACAACTAATGACAAGGAGGCATAATGATGTCACAGTAAGGTGGGGAGCTGTGTATCTGTTCATATTAATTGCACTCCTTCAAAAATAGGTTCAACTGTAGCTTTGAGTAGGTTTTCTACTTCCTAGGGTTTTGTAGATAGAACCCCCCATAACCATATATATTCTGAATTTACATTACCCAGGGTACTTGGATAAGTAAAAGGTGTTCCAATAAATTTTAAATTAAGTTTAAGCATCTAATGATTTTTTTCTTTTTATTTCAGATTTAACAACTTAAGTCTTTGGCAAATTCAACCATGGAAAGATTAACAATCAAACAACATATTAAAGTTATTGAAGCCTATAATGAAAATGAACGTTCAAACAGAAATGCATTTCGCGCACTTTGCAATTTTTTTGCTAAAAAAAAAAAAATCGACCAACTGAGAGTGCAATGGAAAATGATGTAATGTTGTTGTGGAGGGAGAAGTTCAATTCCTGCACATGATGATGAATAGAGGTGTCTGAATTTTTGGCCACATTCTCATGCACTGCAGCAATTTTTTCAGCTGAATGGTGTAAACGAGCACTCAGTAGTGTTTTCACATCTTCCACTGACCTAGTTTATTTGAATTTATGAACAATTTTTCCAATTGGACGCTTGAAACTTTAACACATTGTTTGATTGTTAATCTTTCCATGGTTGAAATTGCCAAAGACTTAAGTTGTTAAATCTGAAATAAAAAGAAAAAGTCATTAGACACTTAAACTTAATTCACATTTAAAACTGGTTCAAGTTATTGGAACCCCCCCTTTATATTTCATTTTGATCAAAGGGGGTCTCTGGTGGGGCACAAGCTACCACTGAAAATTTTTTTTCTCTTTGATATAAATTAAATTTAAATTTGAACAAGGGAATGACTGCTAGGGTACTTGGATAAGTATATTTCATTTTGATCAAAGGGGTTCCCCAGGTGGCACAAACCCTGACTGAAAATGTTTTCCCTTTTATTTAAATTAAATTTAAACAAGGGAATAACCCCTATCCAAAATATAAAAGGAGAAAGCCAGAAGATGGAGGTCACATCAGCAAGATCATTGAGTAATATTGAAATGCATCATTTTTCTCTACAAATTATAACAATGATTTAAAATCAATCTCCATTTTCTTACAAAAAAAAAATGTGTGACATGTAGCAAGGCATGGGTAATGTAGCTAGTTCCATGTCTTATGATAACAGCAAAAGCGAAAACAAAGAAAAAAGATTGAAGACTTTTCTGAGACATTGGGAATAGGAGAAACATAAAAAAAAAAAAAAAAATTAAAAAAAAAAACTTTAGAAAGTAGAAGGACCCTACCTGTTGCAGGCAAGCAACCAAGTCATTAATATTTGTTGGTAGAGAAAGTGATTCTGTCTTTTCTGGAATTGTCCATCTGATTGATGTTGGACTTTCATATTCAGATGAAGGCTTACCTGAAGCAAAATATTTGATTTTTGATTAGTAGTATGCTGATTGCAGGATTAGAAAACAAGTAAATTAAGTCTCTTCTACAAAGTATGATATTATCATCAACAAAGTAACAACTTTTTTATCTCCCTATATTTCTGAGATGAGGTATTATGCACATTATTTACATTATTCGGACTATTGTCCTCATCTTTGTCACCATATTTATTACAACATTTCAGCCTTCTTCAGGTCGTTGGAATGTCGAACTGAACTCTTTATTTCACTCACTGGGGTAGACTGTTCTAGTTCCACATGCCATGCTTAATGGATGTCGGTTATCAGTTATCTCCTGTTAATTTCCCTCTGAAAGTTCTCCACTGCCTTAACCGGGTATTGAACTCAAGGACACATGGCACAGTGGATGAAGGTGTTGGTTAGATCCAGTGACAGGACCCAAAGAGTGTGAGTTCAATACCTGGTTAAGGCAGTGGAGAACTTTCAGATGGAAATTAACAGGAGATAACTGATAACTGACATCCATTAAACATGGCACATGGAGAAGGCCAGAGCGTACAACAGCCGAAACATTGTAATAAATATGGTGACAAAGATGAGGACAATAGTCTGAATAATGTAAATAGTGTAACAACTTTTGTTGTGGCTTTATATTTATGATGATGAATTTTTACATATTTTTTTGGGAAAAAAAAGTAAACGACTTTAAATTCTTTCTTAAGATGCTTTGGATCAAGATTAAAAAATAAATAAATAATAACATGATACAAATCTTTAAAAATCGGTTAACATTAAGTTAAACAAAAAATGTATTTTTTCTTAAAAACGTATTTTCTGATGTAATTTTTCCAGCTCTTTATCTTTAGCCAACATTTCTTTGAAAACTTTTTTGTTTTTAAGAAAATTTAAATTTTGAAACAAAACCTACTGAATAGCATCTAAGGAGCAGTTTTATTTAGGATACACATGCTTATAATGTTGGACATAAAGTCAGGGTCCAGTTTGGCAGTGCATTTATATTGAAAATTCAACATTTGATGGCATAAAATCACTGTTACATATACTAAAGTGAATCTTAAAAAAAAAAAAAAAAAAAAAAAAAAAAAAAGAAAGAAAAATGAATGCTGAAATTTCCCTTATTTCAATCTCACTGAAAGTTGTAATGAAATCCAGATGGTGTTGTTCAGCCATTGAAATGGATGCAGTCTTTCAGGTTGAAGAAAAGAAATAATGTCCAGTCTTACTTACTGTCATTATTGTTTGTTGCAGGAATGGTTTCCTTGAGCATCTCCAGAAAAGTGTGTCCACCAACTGCTCCACGAGTGTGCTGAATCTCTATCAGTTGAGCAAGATAACTCTTGTCAACCCCAGCCTGATCAAGAACAAGGCAATCCATTTCCACGGCTCTATCTAAATAACGCAAAAGTTTTGTCATACTGGACACTGGGATACCAAAAGATTGGACAAATAAAAACAGCTGTGCTGGGTCCAAGTCTTGAAGAGCTGAAAGGAAAAAAAAAAAAAAAATAAACAAAAACTGTTCTAAGCAAGTAAAACTCAAATTATGTAGAAACAAAATAGCAATAGTCAGTTAATTTCATTCAGAAATGGAAGATGACTAAATGCCACTTGGATTATATTAACTTTCACAACCATTGTAATCTTTGTTGAGAAATGCTAAATCCACTTTTAACAAAAGATACAAAACAAATAAAGAAATGTAATATCAACCTTATAACAAAAACTGAGCAGCTCTACTTGCTAATGTCTATTGTCAAGCCTCTCTTGGGATCAATGTGGGACAAAATGAGATCCTTACCAACCCTGTCACACAGTGAGAGAAAAATAGAAGGAATGAGTTTTTAAAAGTAAAAAGATTTTGTTTCTGTAAACAATTGATCAAATTGTTTTTCATGGTTTATCAACCATTTGTGGGTTATCCAATTTATTTTTTATTAAATTTGTTTTTCATGGTTTATCAACCCTTTGTGAATTATTTAAAGTTGAAACATATTTTTAGATTGTAAGAATAATACTTTTTGTTTTTGCAAAGTAAATATTACATTAAAACTCTTTTGGAGAACAATAATGATTTTTCCAGATACAAGTCATTATTTAACCCATAGCTGTAGGTACTTCAACATGGTATAACAGCAAGCATGTCTTGTTAAATCAATTATGACTGAGTAGCTAGTTTGATCCTCATTCAGTGCTCTATATTTTTGCCTTGTGCCACATCTAAGCTATGATTAGTAAATTGCTTTAATGCATTGCTGGGAGAGGAGATGAATTCATACCTTTCCTAAGTTTGTTTTGTTTGTTTGTTTAAAACTTAACGACCCATCGATCTTTCCTAAGTGTATTTTCTTGTAAGTAAATGTAACGAGACACGACTGGAATTCAAACTCAACTCTTTGATTTTTTTCTGTAAAGGAATACCAATGATAAACAAAATAACAACTCATAGGTAAGCAAAACCAAAAACAGGTGAAATTGCAGTACCATCTACAGAATCACCCGAGACATCCCCCCCACACACACACCTGAAACTGTCTAGAATGATCCATTATACAATGTAGAAATGATTGAGACAGAAAGACTGAAATTTAATCAGGGAAACAATAATGATGATCCTGTTAATAATTTGACTAAATCCATGAAGTGAAAGAATTGCTGTGCATCTCCCTCCTTCCCACTCCAGAAAAATAGTGTCAGGAAACCTACCTGCATCTACCAAGCGCTCTATGTTAGATCGAATCATACGAAGTTTCAACCAGTCAGGCAGCAAAAGGGCTTCTTCAGAGGTGTCCAGAAGGAATGCAGATGGAGGACTCCCTTCTTCAGGGAACCAAGTTTGCAATAATTCCTCATAATGAGATTCTCCACCTGATAAACGGGAACAGGAAAAGTAGTCAAAATAATTACAAGTTTTCAATATTTCAACAAAGTTTTCTGTATTTTTATTTCATTCTTAACAGGCCATGACAGGTTTTGACAGTAGAGAAAAAGCAATGAAATTTCATGTGTTTTCAATTATATACATACCCTATATCAAGTGCTATGTTTTTTTCATGATGTAGGAGAACATGGCTCTCCACAACTTCCTTTTTTTAGTATCTGTAACCCATGTATTGTCACGTTTGTTTTTGGGAAGATAATGAAGTTGTTTTCCTTGTAATTTTCTCCATAGTTTTTCTCCACTTAGACTGGTTACCAACCAAGGCTAGAATGCTCTGTCTACCTTGCTATTGTACCCATAGCTGGAAACAAAGAGGGTGACACATGCTTTTCTCAGCTACAATTTGAACTGAATTGCTGATCCCATTTTCTGCACTATTAATCATCATTCACCATTATAATTAATTATCATTCACCATTATAATTAATTAGATTAATGCAAAAGTTTTAAGCATTTTTTAGACATAATTTTTAATTCGTATAAATTCAGAGCATCATTATTTAGTCACTAAAGTATTTCTGTTCATTTTCTAAGACCTTGCATCACTCTTTTAGATAAATTGTATATTTGGTCATAAAAGAATAATTTCCGTTTTTGATCAATGGATTCACTTTTCTTTTTGATAGCCTGAAATTTTTTTTCATCCATTTACGAGAAAAAAAAAAATCTAACAATGAATAAGTGATAATGCAAAAGTCACAGGTCTGGAGAATTCATTGCATGTAAAAGAAAAACAAAAAAACTACCCACTTCTTTCAATGTGTCACTCAAACAAGCCAGTTGCTCAATGCAGTAAGTTTGTCCAATTTTTAAAAATTTATAATAAAAACTTGAAAAATCCTCCCCCACCTCTCCAGTAGATTCCATTTAGATCAAAATGTAGAAAGACTGTTCAGAATAGAGGGAGGTACAATTTTTGGTGGGGGTAGCAAGGGATTCTTTCATAATGAAAAGATTTTTTCATTGTCATTAACTACTTAGTTAAAAAAAAAAAAAAAAAAGAAAAGAAAAAAGGTACACTTTTCTACAGACAAATATTACAACATTCATTTTTTTTTTTTTTTTTTTAACTGATAAAACCATATGAGACCTATTTTCCTATTGATTTTTTCCTATGGAATGAAGAGTCTCATCCTTCTATGTAAAATATTTTAAAAACAATTTTATGGAGGGTAAGGTTCATGGTGAATTGTACTATGTTTTCCCCTCCATACTTATTTAAAATGCTAACGCACAAATGGTTGAAGATAGGGGCACCAATTTGTTATAAAAAAAAATCTAGAGTTACACACTCACAGAGCAATTGGCTGAAATGAGGGATTTTGAAATCAAATAAGTAATTATTACCTTTAGGTGGTCCATAAGTAAGCAATATAATCATAGCATGAACAACCAACACATGCATTATGGCAGAGTCACCAGATTCCCACTGTAAAATGATTTGGTCCTGTGTATTTGACTGAAAGAAAAAAATATTTCCTATTAACATTATTTTGAGCTTTCTATCAAGTTATAATTTTTTTAAAAATTAAATGTATTTCATGACAAAATTATTTATTAAAAATTACCTAAAGTTAATCTACCAATAAATTATGTGTATAGAGATATGAAAAAAGAAATGATTTGTTATTAAATTTTATAAAAACAATTGAATCTTTATCTTGAAAATTGTTCTTCTTAAAGTGAGACTCAAACTCACCCAATCATAAGCTTCTTTGTCCGGTTCTTTAGCTTTGCGAAGGTATTTAGTGTAGAGAGACAAGACAGCTGTGAGGGTCCTGTCAGCCAATTCAGGCCGATTGCCATGGGGTGGTACAATATGATTCATTACAGTTGTCCGCTCAACAATAAGTTGAGTCACTTCCTGGGGGAAAAAAAACAAACAAAAAAACAAACATGAAAATACAATAAAAGTAAGAGAAGCATACATAGCAATGTAGGGTTAAAGTCAAGGAATTTCTGTTTTTGGACAAAACACTGCATATATATCATCTTCAGCCATTTTCTAAATCCACTAAAAGACTCATGGCTTTCCCACGTCTGTCATATGTGAGGGGTAATGACCCATTACATGTTGGCAGTAATTTTTGGCAGATTTATCTTTCTGGTAAAAAAAAAATATAAAAACTTCTTAGAGTAGAAAGCTACTTTGAATACATGATTTTATTTATATCTAATTACGATTTGCTTAAAACACTGTTGCGGAAATTTTGGCCTACTTCTTTCTGTCATATTGAATTTATTGGGGTTATACAATTGGCACTGTAACCAGAAATAATTTCATTTTTTTTTTTTTTTCAAAATCTTCTCATATTAATATTGATTAAGCACTCTAGATCAAGAATATTTTAAGAAAATTATCTTGTATATTTTGTTTGGGCTTCTGCAGGTACATTGATTTACAATGAATTTACATAGCAAACTGGAACCTCCACTATTAATTTTTATAAAATTTAATAAATAATTTTTTTTGATATTCATGTTCTGAAGTACTTAATCTATAATGATTTTGTAAAAAAATGATTATTCCTGGTCACCATGCCTATTGTGATACAAACATATTTATATTATCAACACCAAACTTGGTGCTTATTTGCGTATTTTTGTAGGATTGATTGAAATAACATAGACATCTGTCCTGGCCATCATAAATGTACGAAAGAGGTGCGGTCACATCCTAAGTCTGAAGAAGTGTCTCAACTTGACTAAGTAGCCAAAAGGTTTTGAAGATCTTCATTTGCCTTTATACATAATACATACAAGAATGTATTTAATTTTGTTAATATTTCAATGTTTATTTCATCATCCCTCAAAACATTAACAAAAACAGAACCCTAAAATACAGGTTTGTATATATTCCATGAATAATTAGGACTGTTATCCTTATCTTTGTTCTTTAGATTACCCTGTTTTAGACAGGTCTCTTTCTATATATCCTCAAGCATCTGTTGCCAGTAACTAAAAAGCTTTGAACATTTGCTAACTTCCAACACAGATTTTTTTTTATTTCTTACAAACAAGCAGATTAACCAAATGAAGCAACAAAGGTATAAAGATTTTTAAAAATTCATTGGTTAGAATAAAAGCAGAGCATATATCATGGGATTTATGAGCAATAAAGAAAATTGAGATTTAGAGTTTTGTCATTTTTTAAATTTTTGTTCATAAAGTTTTTAATTAAAATTTCCATAAATTAAAAAGATGATTACCATAAGTTTTCAATTTTTGACTTGGATATTCCCGTCATAATTTCTATTCATTTTCATCTCAACTCCCAAATCACCAGAGGGTTATTTTTTTTTTTTTTTTTCTGATTTGCATTTCTTACTTAATGATCAGAAATTGATAATCTTAAATAATAAAAAGTAACAGAAATGAGGATGAAAGTCAAAAAGTGCAGAATTCATCCAAGAAATGTAAATAATATATTAAAATAAATAAATAAAATATTTCATCAGAGTAAAACATTATGCTTCCTAAAATTCTTTCAAATCATGTTAAAATCAAAAAACTAATCCAATAAAAAGTAGAATTCTTTTATGAAAGAATTCACACAAATCTAAGATTGTATGGCACCAACCTTATTATGTCCTACTGTGAATTGCTAATAATGAGAGTCAAAATGGTGAATGATCAATGCAGAATTTGAGGTTCATGCCTTTTAAACCAGTTGTTGATACAAGCATTGATATTATAGGAAAGACTTTTCATTCACTCTAAGTGAATGTAAAAAAATCTTTATTTATAGGGGCAATTTATAGGGACATAAATTTTGATAATAGTTAAAAATGAAAATAACAATCACTGAATTTTTAGTGCTGATTACATTTGAATCTGAGATAGATTGGCATGGTTTTGACTTTTCTTAACCCAGCCTAATAACTTTACTATTACTGCAGCTCCTCCCCCCCACACACACACTTCCATCTACTTGACATTTATTATTTTTCTGCAATTACAAACTAAATATTTCAAGTGAGTGATAAGAGAAAAAATGTATAATCATTTAAAGTTTGGTTTCTTTTTAACTTAAAATTTATTTTCGTGAATTTCATCATACAAACTGAATACTGTACAGAAAGAAAGGGAATGTCTCAGGTCAGCAATTAAGACATATATTTAATAGCCTTATTCTGTCACTAATGCTTGATTATAAACATACAACTTGTGTAATCTTTTGCAGACTAAACAGCTTCACCCCATGATGTATTTCAATTCTTATTTGTGCTGACATGAACAAAAATTGGGAAAGGCTTAGCGGACATTTAACAAGTTTACAAAAGGCAAAATATCCACAATGGCAAAAGAAAATGCAAATTCTGTTTTCATTATATTGGTTCTTTTATGCATGGTTTCACCTGGCATCACCTGGGAGGATAGGAAAGTGATACGTAGAGCATCTTCAACCGTACTTCTCTCTTTTCTCACAATAGATCTCTTCTTCCAGTGAGAATTTCATCTGCCTATGACTCTCACTCTAACAATCCTTGTTTTCATTAATTTGACTGCTGACTCTCTCTCCTACCACCCTTCTGCCAATTTCTACATTACAATGTACTGCTTGTCACCCACAAATAGGCAGCTTGTAACTGACTAACCATAACTCTACATGTCCATCAATGACTTTTGGATTGTTCATCATAGCATGTGATCCTAAAAGGATTCATTTATTTATATTTATTTATATACTCCATTTCCTTTCTTTTCCTGGACAGTGGTTCAGTTGCTTTAAAGTTATCACCTTTTGATTTTATTGTTGATTGTCATAAAAACAGTTCTCAAATTCCAGATAATATCATTTAGAGCTCTTTTGACTTTGCAGGTATTTTAAAGAAATCTAGTGAGTACCTATTGTATCAGTGGATTATTGTCAAATAGGCTTATTTAATAAACTTGTTCTGTCACTAATACTTGATTATTGATTAATTGATTTTTGGCCAATAGCTACAGAGACCATCAAAATGAAAAAAAAATTGTCTAGAATAATTACACAATATAAGGAGACCACATTTAAAGAAAACTTAAGGAGGCATGGTGGAGTAATGGATAGCAGCTTGGATTGAGGAATTAAAGAGTCAAGTTCAAATTCCAGTCGAATCCATTACATTCACTTACGTGCTAATATCCTTGGGAAAAGTATGAATCCTCTTCTCCCCCCAGTTATGGGTAAGTAGCAGGACAGACTGGGTTCTATAGCCTTAGATGGCAACTGGTCTACTGCAGAAAGAAATGGCAACCTACTGCTGGAAAAAATCTGCATTGTCAGTCATGTATCAAAGATACATGATTGCCTAAGCGTGTATCATGCATGGCACATAACTGATTGAAGGAAGCACGGTGGAGTAATGGATAGTGGTTTAAATTGAGGAATTGAAGAGTCAAGTTTGAATTCTAGTTGAATCCATTACAGTCACTTATGTGCTAATACTCTTGGGAAAGGTATGAATCCTCCTCTTCTCCTTCCCAGATACATGATTGCCTAAGCGTGTATCATGCATGGCACATAACTGACTGAAGAAGTCAATTATTGGGAGCTGTGTGTAGTTCAATGGTTAGAATGGTGAATGACAATATTGCAAGGAGTTGATTCCAACATAATACATTCAGTGTCATCTGAGAGAAGGAAATAACTTTTTCCACTTTGTGCTTAATCTACCTATTGAAAATGTTGTCACTTACCAATGCCAAATCATCCATGTTTTGTAGGTTGACATCTTTTACATGACGGTCAAGGAAGATGACATAGGCACTAACAAGAGTTGGGTCAGTCTCCACATGACAAGCCTGAAATGTATTAAGAACAAAGAAATGAAACAGTCAAATAGAATGGATTTCTGTCTGTTTTAACAAAGATTTAAAATGAAATAAAAGCAGTAAAAAAAAACTATGTACAAAATATAAACAAAACTAATAATAAAATTAAAAATTGATGAAAATTTGGTAATCCATTTAAGATGCAATATTCCAATCTAGTTAAAAAAAAAAAAAAAAAAGAACTAAAATTTATGACTAAAATCTGTACTTATATAAACTTTTTTTTTTTTTTTTTTAAACTGAATATACATTTTATCATCTCTTTAGTTCTAGAACTTATTGGCTCAAATAATGAACTTTCTATCACAAAATATTAAATGTCAAAGATTTAACTCCAGGAATGTCTTCAAAAGAAATTTGATATCAAGAATTATTTTATTTACATTCATCTTTGTCATTCTTATCAAAATATTTTGACATCTATGCCATTGACCTTCGGGAGACTGTCAATCAAATTAATCTTCAGGAAATTTCAAACTGAATCATTTATTTAATCTATGTGAGTAAATTTTTCTCATTCCACATTCCATATCTATAGAGATTTTGTTTTGTTTTTTTTTATTTTAGTACTGCTCAGTTATTGATTGCTTTGTTTCTACTAAGTCCAAGTTTGTACTACCTGGCCCAGGGATTGAACTCATAATTAGTATTTCAACCAAATTCACAAACCAACACTTTAATCCACTAGTCTACAGTCCCGTATGTTCTTTTGTAAATTTATTCACTCACCTTCCGAATGGCATAACAAGCTTGTGATCTGAGAGAGTCAAAAAGCGGTAAACTGGGGAGGTAGACTAACAACCATTTATGTTGTGGAAGCAATCTTAAAAACTGTTCTTCTGGTTCTTCAATTTTGATCGATTCAACATCTGCTGGCGCCATATGAGATGTTGACACAACCAATGATAAACCCTGAAAAACATGACAATTCACAAACAAAAATTACAATTAATGCTAAAACTTCTAAAATTCATCAACTATAATTAAGCTAACTCTATGGCACAAACATATAATAGTCCTTTTCTATCAGTAATAAATGAATTAGTACTTGACTACAAAAAGCACTTTTCTGATTTTCAATGCATAACACATATTTAATAGCAAAATTTTAGTAAAAATTTACAAAATTTGAAAGTTGAATCATCAAATTTCATTTTTGAGCATTAATGTTATTAAAGTGATTGTCATTTATTCCTAATTATGAAAATGATTTTCACATTGTTTTAAGACTGACACTCACAAAGAGTGGGCTAATACAAATTCTTCTGTGAGAGAGGAGACAAAAAAAGGATGCTTTCTATCTTTTAGGCACATTTTTGAAACTCATTAAGTTTTTCAGCATAACACAAATGACCAATTTTTTAATTCATATTATATTCACTATATTTGTTCATACAGTAAATAATGTGCTTTAGTAATTTTGACATCAATTTATTTCCACATTTCATTATTATGTAAAATTGCAATAGAAAGCAACTAAAAAATTAAGATTAAAGTAAATAAAAATGAAAAGTTAATAATAATGTTTGGTAATACTTTATTTAAGTAATAAAAATACTATTGCTGATATAAATATTAATAGGATAGTATGAAAAACAAATATGGAGCTGAGAGAGGTTGTAGAATAGAGCAAAGAATTAGATTTCTTCTTTTTCAAAGCCATCAAGTTTTTTTTAGAGCTTAGTGGTTAAAGCACTTGAGCCAAAAGTGACATAAGTTTGGATCACATTGAGAGTTTGTTTCCATTCCTGTCTTCTTTTTGCTACAAGTTGACAGCCCAAGTAAAGTTTAAAGAAAAAGCAACAATAAAATTAAAATGAAATAATTTTAGATTCATATTTTGATTGATTGAATCAATTAAAATGAAATTTTTTATTGCATGACTCCTTAGGAATCCAACATTAAAATGGCAGATTGATAAATCAAAAAACTTTCTAAATAAAAGTTAATCATGATAACAAGACATTTAGAAAAAAATGATGTAATCTTTATCAATAAAAAAAATCTTACCTTGATAGCGAGGCTTCGACTTGATGCTTGGTTTGAGGAAAGTCTTTTGAAAAAATAATCTAATACTTCAAACGTTGTTCCTGTATCACTCGACGGACTGTGAACCAACATTTGAAGTTTGGCTAATAACTGATCTTGTTTTTTCATTTTCTGGAAAAGAAAAAAAAATTTTTAGTATTCAGTATGGCATAACAGTTAAAAGTAATGGAAAAGAAAATGGAACAGGCAAAAAGAGTTTGAACTTTGCCTGAGGCTACCTGTCCTCTTCTTAATAAAATCCTTGGGAAAGGCATGAAACCACTTTTAAGTGAACTATGAACTTATATCTTGACAAAAGAAGCAATTAGGCACTTGGGCAAATCATTCTCCCATATCCTACCTGGCATTGCAGTGACAGCAAAATGGTCTTACTTCTATAGATAGTCATGACAAGTTGACAGAAAGTAATTGTTTTTTCTGAATAATTAAATCTCTAATTGACATGTACAAATTTTGATATTATAATAGCAAAAATTTATGACAATTTATTTAAAAATTAATAAAAAAAAATAAAATTATATATTTTTAGACATATATATATATATATATATATATATATATATATATATATATATATACACATACACGAGATTTGACAAATGAAAAAATGTTTGTCTATATTTCTGAGATGAGGTATTATCTACACTATTTACATTATTCGGACTATTGTCCTCATCTTTGTTGCCATATTTATTACAATGTTTCGGTTGTTGTACGCTCCAACGTTCTTCAGGTGGTTGGAATGTCGAACCGAACCCTTTATTTCGCTCGCTGGCATAGACTGTTCTAGTTCCACGTGCCATGTCTAATGAATATCAGTTATCTCCTGTTAATTCACCTCTCCAAGTTCTTCACTGCCTTAACCAGGTATTGAACTCACAAACCTTTGCATCCTGTCACTGGATCTAACTAACACCTTTATCCACTGTGCCATGTGTCAACAACATGGCACAATGGATAAAGGTGCTGGCTAGATCCAGTTATGCATGTTTTAAAGATAACCAAGACAAACCTGTTTTTTCTTGTGTTTTTCAGCTCTTGCATCCTCGTCATCATCATCTATGTCTTTGTTGTTGTCTTGTGGTTCATGAAGAAGAAACTCACAAAGACACTGAACTGGAAGAACGTCCAGAGAGCCTTCATTGGATTCAACCAATTCAGCTAACCATGGCATTGACTGAGTTGTTCCCTAACAAAAAGAAAGAAAGATTTATCAAATATTATGTCTCTCTCAAACACCAAAACAAATCTGGCTAATTAACAGACATAGTTAACCTTGTTTCAATCATGCATATCTCTTTCTAGAAAACAATACATAATTAGATGAAAGTCTTGAGATGGTGACATTAAAAAAAAAATTAAATTAAAGAAAATCCAAAAGTCAAAATTCATCTTGTGGTTAGAATTTACTGGGTGAGTCAAACTTTGAATGAGCGACACTAAAAGAAAAACTGACCTGTCTCTGAATAATATCCAGCAGGAAATCTGGGTTACGACTTCGGCACAACATCTGGCCAATCCTCAAAGACTGATTTAATGTCTTTAACTGTTCAATCACAGCTTCTGGTGGTTTTCGCATTGGGCCTCTGAGAAAAACAAAAGTAATAGTCTAACAACATTTTATGTATGCAAAAAACACTTTCTGAATGTGTGTGTATATATATATATATATATATACACACAAATTTATTTCCACAGTTTTATTTATAACTGATTATATGATGACTAATTAATTGTCATCTTTGATAATGGCTTATGCGAGCCAAAAGCATAGATTGAATTTAAACATGTATCAATATGGTGATTTCCTTTTGTCTTTCAATGATAATGTTATTAAGTTTATCAGACAATATGAAAGGAACTTACTTAAAATAAATAGACAAAACTTGTCTATATTATTTAATGAAACATGCATTAATAAAAAAATTGCTTCCTAATATATACACAATGTGTGTGCGTGTGTATACACTTTATGGCTACGTTTCCTGTTAAAATCCAGAAATGAAATGTTAATTCAATGATGGAAGATTGGAATTAACTAACAAAATGAAAATGTCAAGATGTTGAGCAATAAACATGAATTGAAAAGTCAAGACAACATTCTAGAATTTGAAATGATTGGTTTTCATTTTTTAAACTGGTCACTGGTGTCAAAAAAACAAAAGAATACTCTTTTTTCTTGAAACTGATTCTATTTAATCAAAGTCTCTATTTTCAGTGATAATCAAACCAATATGTTCCATAGAAACAAAAGTCTTTTAATTACAATAAATTAAATTAGCCCTTAAAATTGTCTGGGTTTGAACTCATGACAATAGGGTTTTAATTATTAAGATCTGGTAAAACAAGAAATAGCCTTTCCTAATCCTCATTCATTGCTAGAAAAATAAGAATTGAGATAAATGAAGTGATCCTGGCTGTACATGACAAGAGGGGGAAATGACCAAGCCTCTCTCCTCAATTCTATTAATATGCACATATGTAAATTGACTTGTAACCTGAAACCAGAAAGAAATGTATTCTTCATAAATACAGGAACCCTTCAATAGTAATGGGAAGTCATCAATAGGGACATGAGCAGGGACACAGAAAGTAAAGTAGTTGACATTACCACCTCTATTTGCTAAATATTCTACTATTCCTTGAAAGATACTACCTGAAAATAATTTTGTTAATTGAAGAAATTTTCTCAGGCCTAAGAAAGTTTCATTTGCAGAATGGAAGAGTTGGAAACTAAATTTTGAAGTCTAACTGCCTGGAGGTCTGAAACCCAAAGTTCCTATAGCGAAGAAAATGGCGACTTAGCATGTCGCATGTATCCTACGATGGAAAATGTGGCGATAAAGAAAATTATTTAACCCTAAAAAAGGGCATGTATTCTGCATGACATGCTGAAGACATAATATTTAAATTAAAAAACAAGTCCATCGCAGGAGTCACCATAAAAGTATTTTGCTATGCAAAAATTGAGCATCCTCTCCCAGCTGTCGATGAATGGAAAAAATGCTCGGCCAATAAAAGCAGTTGGTGTTCTCGAATTGGGGAGGAAAAAATTTGGGTATTTTGGCTACCGCTTTAGTTGGAGAGTGAGTTATTTTTCTGACTGGTTGTGTGCATTGTGAGATAGTACCTGCGAATCGAGTTTTCAGCATTTCTTTCTGCCCCCGATGTTAGAGTCTGAACTTAGTGATTTATTCTCTGCATTGTAGAAGTAATCTGCAACAAATATTTCCTTTGCAATCCCAGATCGCTTACAGTTCCTAACTTGTATTGTTGAATAAAATATCAATCACTATTGAAAATCAGATGTAGTTAAGTGGACCATGGAATTAGGGGGGTTTAAACTGGTCAATGTGACTTGTCAAGCAAACTATGTTATTGTTTCTACAAGTGTTAGTTGTCAATTATGAAAGGACTTTTTACATTTCTTGTAACTTGCCCCTTAGTTCATGAATGTGTTCTGAACAGGTTTTCCTAGGAATCCCTCAAATCAAAAACTTTAAGACAATATGAATTAGAAAGATCAACAGGTGCAGTGAAATACTCAGTCAGCAGTCCCAGGATAGGGATTTGAGAAGAGGTTTGGTTATACTCACGAAACATCCATGGAAGTTAGTTGAGTAAGCAGAAGACTGTTCGTTTCTGTGATGGTAACTTTGCTTGTTGCGGCTGCCAAATGAGCTTCAAATTCCAAAATCGCCTGCCTCTCTTTTTCATACAACTGAAAAATAAATAAAAAGCTTCATTTTGTACAATATTAAGACATTATGGCAGATATCTACAATCTAGGCCAAAAGTCTGGCAGCCATCCTCTGAATAACTATGCCTTCTTTGGTTTAATTGACTCCTACCAAGCTAAATTGCTGAAATGATTTAACCTATTAGTATATGGCGTCCAAATTTTTAAAGGGATTACTTAAATTTTAAAATATGCCATATTACCATTAGGCAAAAAGAGCTAAACATTTAAGGAAACTTTATGCAGTAATAAGTTAATTCAGTTATTATTATTATTATTGAATATATGATAAAAACATTCAGGAAGAGAAAGTTCCCCTAGTTTGGAGTGAGCTAGTAAGTTAATTTTGAAAAAGGCATGAAACCTTCAATTTTTAAATGATTCTTAGAAATCCAAAGGGTGGCTCACAAAACTTTGACCTAGAGGATAAATAAAAAAGACATTAGATAAGATTATCACAGGAATTATTATTGTATTTAAAAGAAATTTTTTTATACGACATCATAATAAACAAAGTCAATCTTGTGATGTACTTTACAAATTCATATTCAATGCATCAGCTTCAATCATTCTTTCAGAGGCACAATGGATGAGAGGGTTGCCAAATACATAAGCTATAATAGCTAGAGTGAATGCAATTCCAGACCTTGTTGTACTAGTCTGAATGTTGGTCTGAAACAATCCAAACTGAGTGGGAGTAATTTGTACCTTGTGAACATGCAATCATGACAGTGATGAATTGGCTTTGTCTACATTTTGATATAAGCATGATAAAATATGTGACAATAGGAAGTACAGTTGCAGCAGTAGAGAAGTCAAGAGCTCTGATACTTGTCCAGGCTTTTTTTCTCCCAAATTACTCATGTGTCCATGGTTTCATCAGGGAAACACATTGCACATGTGGAGAGGATAGTAGCTGGCCAAGATGCTGACATCTCTGCTCTTCCTTTCACTAAGATTTCCTTCATTAAACAATGTCCCTATTCTCCTCAAATAAAACAAGCAAAAAAGCTGAAGAAAGTTTTCTATTTTTGATTCAGTCTGACACAATTGGGGGTCACTACTGAGGAATTATAGATAGACATCACACGATGCAACAAATAGCTCAGTTGGGAGAGTGTGAGACTGAAGATTTAAAAAGCCCTTGTTGCAATCCCAGGCATTTTAAGTCATACTTTTATTTGAATATTTTAGACAATTTTTGGTCTGCTAATGATTATCAAGTAGTGGTATGGAAAAGGAAAAGAAAGTACATTTTCTGTCATTAATCAAAATAATAAGAGTGTGAGTAAGTGAGCATTAGACTGAAGATTGAGAGACCCATTCATTTAATCCAAATCTTTGTTGTCAACATTGTACAAATATTCTATGTAAATATTCTAGCAGATAGTTGAGTATTCAAATAGGGTTGTAATTCTTGTTGTTGCTTCAAATCAATTCAATTATTCAATTTGCTTCAGACAGACATAAACAGACATAATAGATATGAATAGGAAAAAAATCAACAAATTTCATTTTAAGTCTTAATTATTTTCATCATAATTTTTACAATGCTGAGTTTGTTTACATTTTAACTAAATAAGTAGCATAGATTTGAAATAAATAAGTAACCTCTGATAGGATTTGAACTTGCATCCAATACCTTTGGTAGGATCCAACTTTAAACCTTATCAGAGGCTATGCTTATTTATTTCCATTCTCTGCTGCTTGTAGAATGTCAGATGAGCTGAGCATTGCAAGAAAAAGAAGAAGCAACCAAAAGAAAGATGGAATATGTGAAATTTATAATGAAAACTGAAAAAATCTGAACAAGTATTAATTTTATTGTTTTATTTGTTCAAATGGAAAATCTATTTTTTTGAGTTTTCTTTAATCCAAACTCACCTGCTTCTCTTGATTCTTGATATCTTCAATCACTTTTTCATCAGTTGCGGTTGTAGGAGGAGGAAACTTGTAATTGCTACAAGAGTGAAATTAAAAAAAAAAGAAAAAAGGTAATCTCAGATATAATCATTTATCACAGACTTAAATAAAAAAAAATGAAACATAATGATAAAATTGTTAAAATGGAAACTTCAAAAATACATTAACAAAAATATGAATCAATGGATTTTGTCTATCAAGAACTATTTCATGGCATTTCCCGATTAAAAAAAAAAAAAAAAAAAAAAATATATATATATATATATATATATATATATATATATATATAGAGAGAGAGAGAGAGAAGATAACCATGAAAACAGTCCTAAGGTGGAAATATGCATAAACATTGGTTTGCTGCAAATATGATTTTCAAGGTTTAGAGTTTTTAGTAATAAAACTTCCCTGTGCCTTTTCTATAAATATTTTCATGCTAATTGTTCTGATGAGCTTCCCTCTTTGGTACTGCGACATTATGAATTTAAGCACAGTACTAGATTGGCAACTAGGTCTCATCATTTTACAATTGAAATGTCAAGATGTAACCATAAGTTCTATGCTAATAGTTTCTTCTATTGGACTTCTTGCTTGTGGAACTCTCTTCTGGCCTCTTGCTTTCCAGAAAAAAATTTAAATACAATGTCAGTTGTTATTTTCTGTCTTCTTAATTATTGTTCATTTATTGTTGTCACTCCTTAATAATATTTTCTTTTTATCATATTTTCTCACACCCAGTAACCTCTTGCATCTTAGTGGTTTTATTGCCTTGCTTGGGGTGAAATGATTAAAAAAAAATACTCATTACCAAAAAGCCTTAACTACTGTAACTATTATAAATCATAGATAGAAATCAACTGACCAGGTTGTTCTTGTTGGTAGCTTTTCCATAAACTTCAAACTGAAGTTTGTTATTATTTCTGTGCAGCATGAAAACTAGGAAGCATAAAGTGTTGTTATCTGGATATATTAATAGAGAATCATCTATGTATCTGAAGTAAGAATTTTGTGGTAAAATATTTTTGAAGGGACCACTTCTCAGAAATTCCAAAAATAGACAAATTAAAATGCCACTGATAGAAACCAATGTTTTAATACTCCTGTTTATACTAATAGTGATTTCTTACATAACATAAATTGATATTTTGCAATCTCTTAATTCAAATAACTTTTCAACATTTTGCTTGAAAGTTCCGTAAAACAACTTCTGAAATAAAATAAGGGAAATGTCTAAATAGCACATAGTAACCAATTCAAAAATAAAATTCAAAATATTTGTATGCAGAACATTTCTCCAAAATTACTTGATAATCAAATGAAAAGACTAAAATATTAAAAAAGAATATGAGCAAAGTATGTGATTGAAGAGAATTATTTCTTAATTATTTGTCCATCATGGATCAGATAAAAGCTTGCTTACATTTAGAGATCAGTGTTTCCACCAGAGACTGTATTAACAGAAAATACTTACTTTGTCATCACCATTTCCATCAAACATTTTAAGATCGGATAAGTCTCCCAAGCTGTTGGACCTGAACAAAATACAAATTTACATTTTGAAAATACAGTTTATTCTAACAAAAGGTATTTGAATAAGATCAGATATTGAAATGAATTTGTATTAAACACTCATTAAGAACATACATTTTGAGTCAGATTTTAGATCAAAACCCTTTTTGTAAAATAACAAATGAAGTTGTTGTTCTTAAATAAAAACTGATAAGCATTGTTATGAATATTTTTGGTAAATAAGTTTAGTTATATTTAATTAGAGAACAAAAAAAAATAATGTTACCCAATTATGCCATCATCCAGGTCTAAAATATTTTTTGATATGGCAGAGAAGTTTTTTTTAATAAATAATTATATGACAAATAGTTTTCTTTGAATGTTAAATAGACTTGAGAAAGGATATAAATTCTTCAACCTAAAAGATTTTTATCATGTCTTTTAACCTGTTTCATGTTTTATATTTCATGTCTTTAATAAGACTGTAAGGTTTAGAGGCAGAGAACTTTAATAAGACTGTAGGGTTTAGAGGCAGAGAACTCTTACCAACGAACTGGGGAAAACATATGTTGAGACATAGAATATGATTTTTAAATGTGGGCTTACCAAAAGTGCTTGAGTTAAAAGCAACAATGATGAGTAACATAATCCAGGCTTTCCAGTAGAGAGAGGAAATAGCCAGAGTCGGAGGAGTGTATCTGAAAAAGAAAGAGATTATCAAGAAGTACAAAGAATTGAAGAATAATATTTTAGGCTTTCATTAAAAAAAAAAAAAAATAATTCTCTATTTGCTTGGCAGTTATAAGAAGAAAAAATGTTTAGGGTTTTTTTTTTTTTGGTTGGGGGTATATATGTAAGTGGGCTTAATAGTGCAAAGAATAGTCTGTTTCTATTACAAGCTCCAAAATTATCAACAATTACCATAGATACTCAAGTATAGTGCAAGTTTTTATGATCAATTTTTTTATGCAAAAAATAGGAGGTCGCACTATACACAGGTAATTTTTTTGAAGAAGTTAAAAAACATGCATGAGAATACAAAAAGTCATGAGAGAAAAATAAAACCATAAAAATGAATGTGCCCTAGAAAGTGGGGGACACTTTTCCCCCCTCACATGTGACTACATCTTATAGCCAGAATTGTAAAAGAGAAAAAGACTATGGAGAAAAATGTATGCATTTTTATAGGCTTAAGGAGCATAACCTAGGGATGTTTTTTTTTTAACCCACAAGCTCTTTTCAAAAATGAAAGATACAAAGATTAGGTGGAGAAAAAATTAGGTGGAGAAAACAATTGATGGACACTATTTAGAAGACATTGTGCATCTTACCTCAGTTTATTGTTTAATATTGAAAGGCTTTCAAGTGACAAGTAGATTCTAATTAATTTCCATTAATTGTCATGTTCTGAATCGATAATATTCATGTCTCATAATGTTTATTATCATCATCACCACCACCACCTTCATTTATTAGTAAACTAACTAAACTTGATTCATAACTGAATATTTTTTAATTATTTCTAATTTTATTATTGTAGCAATATGATTTCTCACACATCCTTATGAGATAAAGATAAATAAATAGATTCTTTTTCCTTTTAAGTCAATTTAATGACCAGGGTTCTTAGGAATCTTGTCTTCAGTCCATCAATTAAATGAGCCAGATTTTTTCAGGAATCCTCTCTCCAGCCTGCCTTTGAATTAGCAAACATAAAATTTTGTTAGCAATACTTTTCCACACATCACATTATTCATATTTTCTATTTATTAACTATTGAGATAGATGTAGCTCATCATCTGCTCACAGACATTGGATTCACCTCTGTCCCAGGTAAAAAGTTGTCCATTCCTATTTAATAAATCATTTTTGGTAACTTTAGGGAATATAACAAATTTTTTTTCCTGAAAAGCAAATCCAAATTTGATAATATTTCTTAAACAAAAGATTATTTGAACTGCTTGGAGAAAAGAGAAAGACTTTTCCCTTTTCTTTTTTTTTTCCAACCCTTTAATTTAATGGTAGGTTGAAGGATATAAATGTTTAATAGTGGAAACAAAAGATTTATTTGTCAATCCCAGAAATACTGGGAAAGTCTGTCAGTATGTATAAAAATGACAATATGTTTGAAGTTATTCATCTTTAATTTATTTTATTAAGTAGAAAATGACAAATTTTTTAAATAATTTAAGTATTTTGTTTTTTAAGACACATACAGATTATTGTTATAATCCATTCTAATAATTGCTGTAAAGAAAAGTTTTCTCTTACCCAGCAGGCAGGGCAATATTTTCTGGATGATGATAGGCACAAAGATTCATTAAAGCACTGACAAATTCCAGTCTTGTAACACGAAGAACCTCAACACCTTAAGAAAAAAAAAAAACGAAAAAAATCAGTTTAAATGTCCATTTTATAAATCAAAAATATTTCCAGGAATTTTTGCATTTTTGTAAATTTTACAGTTAACTAATGACATTTTTTATTACGTATTATAGTGTACACTTCGTATTTGAAATAGACACCCCACCTTTATTTTTTTATTAAACAGTGAGTATTATGACTACTGAGAGATTAGAGAAAATCTTACTAAAAAAAAATGGCAGTGATGAAAATATCAGATTAAAAATAAATCCATTAATTCATTAAAAATAGTTTTATTTACATTTTGAATACAAAACTGAGCAAATTTGCAGCTTTACATGAGCACCAACATTTTAAAAAATGTTCAAACTATGAAACTTAAAAAAATATTTGGAATATTTTGCTCAGAATATTATGATACATTCAATATTATTATTTTTTTTAAATATTTAAAAAGAAAAAAAACATGAAAGTTAAACTGGATTTTATAACGACAGAAAAAAGTTATCACTCAATAATTCTGCAGATGAAAATTGAAATTCAAGTTTTATCAAGACAACTATTTCCTTCAAACTCTTTACTTTATGATTTTCATCTTTTGTAAATTTGGAAACTAAATTTGAAATCAATGAATAAATTTGGTTGCTTTAACAATTTTACAGCTGTCATCTTTCAGGGAGAAATACAAATTTGCTATTGACTGTAAATAAATGACTACATAGATGCTGATGGTGATTTCTCATGGGCATAGCCTTTTTGATTTCATACAGATAGTAAATGTAATGTCAAAATAATTAATGAATTTATTTTTAATCCATCATTTTTATTCCTTATTATATGTACACTCTGTATTTGAAATAGACACCCTCCCACTTTTTTTTTTTTTATTAAACAGTGTGTATTATGACTACTGGCTTGCACATTAGAGGAAATCTTACTAAAAAGAAATGGCAGTGATAAAAATATCAGATTAAAAATAAATCCATTAATTCTTTAAAAATAGTTTTATTTACATTTTGAATACAAAGCTGAGCAGATTTGCAGCTTCACATGGGCACCAACATTGTGAATTTGAGAGCTTAGTCTGAACTGCAGAGTATCCTAAATGACCCCAACCCCAACAAATAATGTAATAAAAATATGCCACAAAGAAGGTCATATTGTATGCCTATGCTGGTTTGGAAACAGCACCAAATGTGAGTTAATTTATTACACAAACACTAAGGACTGAGGTTTCATATTGTCTTCAAAAATGGCCACTTGGGAGAAAATAGGAAACTGCTAATAACAACAGACACTGAGTTCTCATGGATTCCACCATTTTGGTTTTGATAGGATACTCAAGTAGTCCAGACTAAACTAAATGACCCCACCCCCAACAAATAATGTAAGAAAAATATGCCACAAAGAAGGTCATATTGTATGCTACTATATGTCTATGCTGGTTTGGAAACAACACCAAATGTGAGTTAGTTTATAACAAACACAAGGGACTGATGTTTCATGGTGTCTTCAAAAATGTGTGTGCCAACAGCAGGCAATGTAAGTTTGGAAATATTTATAAATACACCCACAGCAGCAGAAGTATTAGCAACATAAAAATAATATAAACTTAACCTCTTAGTCTAATGGCTGATTATTTTTTAGAAGAGATTTTAAAATTAAAAAGAAAAAAAAAGAATGTCATCTTTTTATTAAACTCCAGCAAAGATTTTAAAAAAAAATTAGCAGAAATGATTAACTTTGCTTGAACTTTGAATAACAAAGAAACAAGATTTCAGAAATGTTTAATGATGCTCATATACTCAGGTGATTCCACATCCCCCACACAGTGGTGGGGTGGGGAGAGATCTTTTTCAACTGTCCATGAATATCTTTAAATATTTTATAGAATAAAGGAAAAAGTTACCATCTAAATGCATCACGGCTGCTCTTTTGATCAACTGGTCAGCCAATTCCACAGCATCAGCAGATACAAGAGAAAGTTCTCGAGAAAGGCCAATTACAAGAATTCTCATCAACGTATCCTCCAAGACGGGAATATCAGATGCAATTCTCAGCATATGTCTGAAATGGTAAATATACAATTAAAATAGATAGTCAAAATTTGCTGAATTTGTATTTCTCTCTCATTTCTTTTTGTATAATTATATTCAGAAAGAATTGTTTATAGTCATCAACTAAATTAGATAAAATCTGACTCTTAATATATCAAATAGGGCCAAGTTTAAATTAAAATCTTTAAATGCCATATGCTTTATAATGTTCAATGCTTATCAAAAATCAACCTCATAATTAACAGATTTATGAAAGTGATGTTTAACAAGAATTTGAGGTGAAATTAAAGGCCAAATAAGAAATAGAAAAATCTGTTTTTGCGATCTTTAAAGTAGTATGTCACCTCAAACTATTATCAAATATATTTCATTTTCAATATGAATGTAGGTGTTAAATTAGGCAGTTAGCAATATTAGGATTTCAGTGTTGCTTAGGAATGAAGTTAGAAAGTGGTAAATTAAAAATGAGAAACAGAATTATATAAAATTGTTCCAATACGTTCAGAAGTGAAGATTTGTCTGGAATCCTTTTTTGTAATTATCCAGAATACATGAATATTTACAAAATACAATCTGTAAATTTAAGAATCTAATTAACTCTTATACAAACTTGTAACATGATTGAAACAGGAACAATAGATTGGAAACATGCAAAGCCGAATGCTTAAAGTTCAATCTTGAATTTGTTCTTTAATGTTTTTTGGAATAAATATACCGTCTATAACTGAGATGTCAACTCACACTCTATCACTCTCAGGCGGCCAGTTGTCTTTGTTGTGGTAATGATCAGCACTTTCCATAAACAATACTTTATGCAAACTGGAAAAAAGATATAAATTAAAAATATCAAAGATAAAAAATTAAAATTACCCAAACAGGGTCAAATTAAGGCCTGCAAGAGGTTCAACATTTCACAACAAAAATTTTTTTTCCTTTTAACACTTTGCAGAATAAAATCTTACTTATTATAAAACACAGATTGTGTGTGTGTGTGTCTGTAACGTTTATATATTGGATCGAATTTCCTACATTTTTTAGCTGATTTCAACAAAACTTCACAGGACTACATAAAATTACCTTGTGGTGGTTCTAACGGCGCCGAAAATGGGAAAAACACAATTGTTTTTTTAACAAAATCAATTTGAAAACACGATTAAGACACATCGTGAGAATGAAGGGGGACAACTCATATCGGGTTAAAAAACCCAGGTTGTCTGTCTGTGTGTGTGTGTGTGTGTGTGTGTGTGTTCCTTTATATATGGGATCGGATTTCTTACATTTTCAGCCGATAAAACAAACATCCACTTTTTTTTTTTTTGGCAGGTAGTGTTTCTTATTGTCTTGCACACTTTTTCTTTTATTTTTACATTCAGAATGCTTTAAAAATTCCATTTACAAGACAATTGTTTATAATAAAACTCTATTCAATCAGTAGACTCATAATGATTGAAAACAATGTTTTTGTTTGAGTTTGGGTTTGACCCCAAAAAAAAAAAAAAAAAAAAAAAAAAAAAAAAAACAACTAATTAAGACATGCGTGTCCGTCAACCTTAAACAATAATCTTTGTCAATTTTATTTTTCAGTCTTTATGATGGTGGATACTTGATCTATCTCTTACTGTTATATCCCCAGGCAATGCCAGGCTCTACTGCTAGTTGAATATAAAAGGAAAATAACAAAAAGAAAAAAAAGAGTTAAGGCCAGCATAAGTTTAAAAAAAAAAAAAAAACAATCTGTATCTTCCATTGGTGTCCTAAGCATGGACATATTTATTGTACTTACTGGTAATCTAGAATGTGTGGGTGGTGTAAATGTTAGGGACTTGGAAAGAGAAATCAGGGACCAGAGTTTGAATTCTGGCCAAATTCATTGCATTCACTTCTGCACAAATACCTTTGGAAAAGATATGAATCCATCTCTTCTTTCTCCAACTATAGGTTAAATAGCAGAGCAGACTGGGTTCTCTTGCCTTGAAGGTGGCAATCAGTCTAGGAGATAAGCTCTGAATTAAAAACCCATCTTGAAGAGGAATGGAATCTGCCAGGTTATCTTAAATTATCACTGCTATGGCTGCAGTACATGTGGTGTCCCTACAAGCCTAGTGGGTTATGGGACTCATGACAGGATGAAAATCTAGAGCTCACTCCAGAATAGATCAATGATAGATAGAGTATAACAAAACAAAGTAATACTAGTGTGGTGACTGAAACTAGTATGTTTTCCTACCACTATGCTTGAGGTCAGTTTTTGAACCAAGTTAAAAAAGTAAATAGATATTTTCTCTCTGATTATGGAATAGAAGGCTCTTCCATTTGTAGACTGAAACCCAAGAGATTCATTTAGCAAATGCTGGACATCGACCAACATCAGAGAAGAAAACAAAGGAAACTCACCAGTGAACATAGTCAGAAGTCTTCATTTCAACAACTGTAGGTACGACAGTGTGCAACCACCAAACGCTATCACGTTGAATTATGCTCACCTGTTGTTGATACTGGTGCAAATTATCTAGATCTGAATGAAAATAAAATATTCAAAATAATTCAATAGAAAATATTAACAATGTTATTTTGGCGGCTTCTTATATTTTTTTTTAAGCATTTCACCCCAAGCAAGGTGGGAAGCCACTAGCACACAAGGGGTTACAGAGAGTTGGAGCAAGAGCAAATAGTAGTGATAGAGGAAAGGATGAAGAGAAGGATAGGGGATAGATCAAGGCATCTGGAGATGACGATTGACATTACATTTTAATAGTTGGAGATTATAGCTATCAGGGAAACAGGAAGAGGGGGAGTGAGTTTCACAGGCGAAAGGTGCAAGACGTGAAGCTATTGGAGTAGAGGAGACGGCTACATTTAACAGTTTCGACAATATATAAAATATATAGAATGAATATATATATAATGGTATAGAATAAAGACAGTTTTATAAAATGTCATCACAAATATCTACTGCTCCTAATGAAGATTTCCTTATCACATGGAAATTGAAATTTTTCATTTATAGAACCATTTAAGAGAAAATGCCAGATGATATGGTTGTGTTGAAAATACAAACCACCAATAAGGCTTCAAACAATCTAGGATTTACAAAGCAGAATAAAATAAGAATCACTCCTTGAATCAAAGAGTCCAAGAAAAAGATAGCATTCTAGTATATTCAGGAATTCTGAAGATTTTAACCAGCCACATCTTCAATTGCCCTGTGTCACACAATTTGAACATTTTTCATCTTTTGACAAGCAATTTCTCTAACACTAATTACTAACAGTAAAATTGGTTTAACATCATTTTTTTTGTTTTTTTTTTTTTTTTTAATTATTAACATTTAACCAAAGCAGTTAAATAGTCATCTTGTGATAGAATGTAGTAAAGGTCAGTTTCAAAGAAATTATTGGAATATAAATATTCACATTATTTTACTTTTTTCCACTTTTGGTAAATTCAGTTTTTTTTTTCATTTTTACTTTTGGGTAATTTCATTTTTTCCATTTGTATAGTATTTTATGAGAAATTTGCAATACATTATGCTATAACTATTATTATTAAAACTGAAAAGAAAAACACAATTCAAATTTTTATTGCATATAAAGAAATAATCTATTTATTATTGAAAATTACATTAAAAACCCAAATTGCATTTAAGATTAATGATTTCATCCATGATTCTGTGATTGCGGAAAATTTGTTCCCCTATAAGTGCGCAAAGCAAGCAATGGAAAGAGTCAGTATGAAACAGAAATATTTCATTATCAATGCTATAGTTTTGTGTTTCAGTTTTTAAAACTTCAGTTTTTTATCCCTACAAAAAAAAGTAGCAATCCTTGTTTGATGTTTGCAAGGACTGGAGTATTGTAGTAGATGTTGAATGTCATCTTGTGACAGCATTAACTGCTCAGCATTCAGATTTGGTCAGTTTATTCAAAACATATTTATGTCATTGAATTAACAGATCCTTTTGTGGAAAATATCAACTGGACACATCAAAGTACAAAGATCTGCAAGAACGATGCATATGAAATGCCTGGACGATATTTCCTATCAAAGTCAAATGCTAAGGTTTTATTGTCAACTGTAGCTTGTTAAACCTGACTAAACTCAGATTGTTACCAACAAAAAAGAATAAATATTTTAAAAGACTCCAAGGAGTCTGCAGGGATCTGGCACTCCTATATAGATATGGAAAAACTAACAAATCCTACAGATGAGGTGCTCTAGGGTAGTGACAATGATGCTTTAGCCCCACAAATCAAGGCATTCATCTGACAAAGGATTTGTTGGAGTGATTCGTTCTTTTTTTTTTGCATTAGCATTTGCATGAATTTACTTGCATAAGTATGAATAACAAAACTTTACACAATTTAGATATTGTACATTTAATAAGCATTCAAAACCAGATGAATTATGCTTGGCCAAGATTAGAGTATCAAAAAAAATATTTCGACAAACATTGTTCTATAAATAAACCAAGAAAGGAAATAAAAAAACATGGTTTTGTAAGAGAACCAAGGCCTTCAAGAAATGAAAAAAAAAAGTGACAATGGAAAGAAGAGGAAAAGAAAGCAGAGAATTGTGCAAATAATGATGATAGTAGAAAGAAGAAAACTGAAATTATAAAAACGATCAGTTTTCAAAAGTCACCTTTTCTTTCACCTCGAGCAAGGTTTGCTGCTGCCTCTCTTACAGATGGCGTGATGCCAACCAAAATGGTGAGAGTGATCAGGTCAGTGATAGCCAGAACATACCGTTCCTAAAACAAAATGAAATTGAAATAGAGGATCAAAACAATAGTAAATCTTTAAAGGAAAAAAATTTTTAAATCTTAATAATTTTTAATATTAGTCAATTAATTACGATTTACTTGAAAAGATGTTTTCAAGTACTAGCTTCTAACTAACAAAATCTGGCCAAATCGCTAAACAGCAGGTTTATTTTAAAAATCCTTTCTTGGTCAGAAGTGTTCCGTTGTTTTTAGGATCTACAAAGAACTTTATGACAGAAAGATATATGAGGCTCAGCAGTCAAGCATATTATTGTATTTCAAGCCTTCATTTTCAGCCACAATCTTCATCAAAGCAGGTAGACTTGGGTTACTTTTTGGGGTCTGGTAATGCTCACAAATCTTTTCCATACAAATGAAAGGTGACTGCCTTTTTAACTACCTACATTTCAGAGAGTGTAAACAAACCTGTACTAATGTTGGTCTTTTGTAAAAATAGAATAGAGCATAAAATGAAGTTTTGGTAAATGAAGCATACACATATGTAGACATGTATATACGGTACTGAATTAACCTTGTAAAATCATTGAAAGACAAATTTGAGTAACTTTGATTTTATGAGCATATAAAAATACCTACAGGGAAAGTTTAAAAAGAAATATTTTTTAACTACAAAATGACATATTTATCATTAGGGGCTAGAATCAAGACAGAAAAAAAAAGAAAGTTACATTTTTAGCAAAACCCAAGCACAAAATTTGTTTTCACTGCCAAAGATTGCAGGAATTATTATGAGAGCCCAAATTAATTACAACTTTGGCAACTCTTCCAAATATCTGTGAATTTATTATTCCAATCTCTGATTTTGAATGAGAAAATTTAATAAACAAAACCACAATAATGACTAAATGTGAAAGGGCCGGTTATTCTGATTGGAATAAATTTAGTTTTTGTTTAATATTTCTGTTTTTTACTTCAAAATAACCTTTTTTTTTTCACAAATTAACAATTTTATTTATAAAAAAATATTTTCCAAAAATGTATCACTGAAGTTTTCATTTTGAGTTTTGTGCATTTATATTTACATATGCTCTCTCCCTGATATTGAGCACCATAAATATAGCATACATTAAAACTATATATATATATATATATATATATATATATATATATATACACACACACATACTGGACATGTGGTCAAGTGGTTAGAACGTTCACATTCTGATCATGAGACCCGGGTTCGAATGTCAACAAGGAGACTTCTTGATGTTAGCAGACTGGAGGGGTCGATCCCAGCGTGTGGCACCTTTGGAAAATGCCTGAAAACCATACCATGGGTTGACCCAAGCCTTGTGAGTGAAATTGGGTAGATGGGACTCTTGGGTGCCATTGATAGCTGTGCTAGCACAAAATCACAAGTCATCGTGGCCAAGGGATTTGGCGTACTGGCCTTGTTGATCACGCTAGATAACATGCTCTTTCCCAGAAACTGTAACTAAGGTCTTCTCACCATAGTTGCAGTATAAACTCTGTGGGTGTTGAATAAACATAAATGCGCCTGAGCAAGCGTCTGCAATAGGGATTGGCTATCATAGTAGACAGGCATCCTCGAATACGAGTGGTCAGCTACATATATTAAATATAAATATATAAAATGGCAGTTGTCCACTTGATTAGTGCTGCTAGCTAAGATAGTGCTAAAAATTCCTGGTCCATCCCACTAACCTAAAAACAGTATTCCATTGACTAAACATCAGAATATTGATTTTGGGAAGTGGTGGTTTTGACTAATAAATTTTTAGCACTCCCTATATATATATATATATATATATATATATATATATATATATATATATGTACACATGCATACATTATGGTTTTGAACAGATAAATAAAGAAAGCTCATATAAGCTGTGAAAATAAAGAAAGAAAAAAAACAAAGAGAAAAATATAGAGAAAGTAAAACCCATACTTTGAATGCTTGATCAATTTCTGTTAATTTTGATTCATTTCTTTTCTGCATAAGTCCCAAACAGAATGCCACAAAATTGAGATCATGTCGAAGTGACCGGACAATTTCTCTGAACAAAGCTCTCAAAGCTCGTAAGTAATCTTCTTTGTTCATTAATAAATCCTGGAAGATTTCTGCTAAAATCTGAAAAAGAAAAAAAAAAATAAATAAATAATAATACTATTCAACACACATCATATTATGGTTTGAAAAAATTCTATAAAATTCTCAGATCAGTGACTGTTGCAATTTTTAAGTTTCATTCTTCAAATAACTTTTAATAATAATACTGGTGTTTCCCAGTTTGACATTTTAAGGTATTTCCATCAGAAATCAACTGAGGTCAAATGCAGTGAATATTCAACGCTGCCACTTTATGCAATCCAACTTTGGTTAAGATGTGACATTTCAAAGAAAATGGTGAGAGGCTTCATCTTCTTGGAAACAAAACTACCTTTCCAGCAAATAACCAAAAAATCTCCAGCAAAATTGACCATCAAAACATGAAGCATTTTTGGGACTCCTGTTTTTTTCTTTTTCTTTTTGAAATTATGCTTTAGTAAAAATAATTTATACACATTCAGATTTCATTATATAATCGATACAAGTTGACATTAGCTAATTAAATCCTTGGCTAAAATTTCAGTGTAATGTTAATAGTCAAAACATTTCGACACTAACACATATAGCCTAATATTTAACACAATAGATATGTTTATGAATTTATAATACATTATCAAACACTAGTCATAATTCGCTTTCATCATAGTGTAATAATTATTGGTTTCATTTTTACATATTAACGAAAAATAGACTATTATTGAGTATAACAATTCTATGGATACTAGAGAAGAATCTCTGCCTACATCTTTGGGGATTATCAAATAATTCAGAATTCAAGTTATAAATATACTAAATGTAAATCTACTTACTCTGGCAGATGTCTCAGGAGAATTTTGACAAATTACACCAAGCAATGCCATATTATTGGGATTACGAGCATTTGACAATTCATTGTAGATTGTATGAATGAGAATTATTCGTAGATTATCAGCATTCTGATTGAGAAGTTCTCTGTAAAATAAAATAAAAAAAAATCATTTGAGAGAAGCTTTAAAAAATATTTTACTAAGCTTAACTTCATATAGTGGAAAACGGTTTGGAGAGATTGACACCAGTTGTTCAGGTGGAGAAAGTTGGCCTGTATGTCTGCCTAGAAAATCAACCTTCTAGACTCTGGCTTTTCATCTGGGATTGAACACAGATTCTTGGCAGTGCTGAAAAATATGCTCAGCAACAAAGCAGGCAAACATTTACCAAGCTTAGCTTAATCTCTAGAACAATATTACAAGTGTTGGTTTCGCAACATGGATCTAACACACCACAACAGTAATAGTCTGTGAGTCAAGTTTGCTAATCATTGCCTCATGGTAACTGTCTATACTTCCGAGATGAGGTATTATGTACATTATTTACATTATTCACTATTATATGCTAGGCCACAAAAATCTCCTGAGCCGACTAAGCATAGAAATGAATGCAATATGGGAACCAGTAATAATAAGGAGTGCCAGAGAAAAGCGATAATAACAACAAAAATTGCAATATGAGCTCTGGGAAAACATGATGTGATAACAGCAAAAATTGCAATATGAGCACTGGTAAAAAAATTGGTTGCTGAAGACATTAAGTTTATAATACCCAGAAATTCATACACAGATGTACTCAAAGCACAGTGGATAAAGGCGTTAGTTAGATCCAGTGACAGGACCCAAAAGAGTGTGAGTTCAATACCTGGTTAAGGCAGTGGAGAACTTTCAGAGGGAAATTAATAGGAGATAGCTAACACACCCTTATTGAGTCAGAAGAGGGAGCAAAATAAACAAGTTTCCAACAAGGAATTACAAGTACTTTAGAAATTGGTGGATAACAAAACATCCCATATGACTAATGGAGGGTTAAAGTAAAATGTAAAAAAAGTAATGTTTAATGTTTAAAATATCCTTCAATGTCAAAATATTTTATAGAAAATCACATTTAAAAATTATTTTGACGTCAAACCTGATTCAGACAAAACATCTCTAGCAGTAAGATTCATTTTAATTTAAGGAATGGGTTGAGAAAACCTCATTCTGAAAAATATGTATCTAAACAATAAGAGAAACAATAATTCCATTTTGGGACAGACACAACTCAATGTCTTGTACAGAACAAGATTATAGAATAATTTGAAGGACAACAACAAAAGGACTGAATAAAAAGGATTACCTCATACAAGCCAGATAATGGTTTATAAGTGGTTTTGTCTTTAGACGAATTTTGGTCAACTGAATAATAGTCTCCATATCCATAGAAGAGGACTGGTCACAATTAAGGCATACTGACATCAAAAGATCTTGGGCAGAACGAGCCAACTACAAAAAAATAAAAAATTGAACAATTCATACTACAAATATTGTTGTACAAGGTCTGTCTGAAAAGTATACAGCCATTTAAAATTAATAGGAGTGGAGAGGGACTACCTAGGGTAAGGTACCAAAGACCTTGCCAAAATAGTCCTGTTAGGACATCACATACTTATCCCAGCATTCTTTCTACTTTTCAAAATAGTTTGCAAAGATCCTTTTTTGGGATTGCCATCAGCTGCCTTGTATTCTCATGTAATCTTATCCTCAGAGATTTGGGCTTTGGGAGACATACCTGATGGTCTGCCAAAAACCCTACACAAGACATGAAAAATAACTTGTTCAGACTTGTGAAAATGAGTCACACAGTACACAAGATTATTCAACGACATTTCACTGCTGACTGAGTAACCCCACAAGGAGGAGTATCTGGGCATGTGCAGTATGGTCCTCTCTGACTAGTTTCCAATTTACATCAAAGTCACATAAATGGATTCCAAGATATTCAAAATTGTTGGATACTTTACTTGGCCAGGCATTGGAAGTGGGATGTCCAAAAGATACCATCTTTTGCTTTATTTGTTTACAAATAAATACTAGAAATAACCATGAAAATTTCACGGTTTTCTTATTTGAACTTTCTGACGAATCTTAATTCTTAAGTTAATAATTGGATAAGCTCCTTGTGAGTTCCAGGACAATAAAATACCCTTGAAAATTCTCCTATTGCATTGTTAAATATTTGAGCTTAACAATTTTAACCAAATATTGCAATAACAATCATAAGAATGAATGCAGAAGTAAGAGGATACAAATGAAAACATTTGAAATTGACAAGTTTTTCACTGACGCAAACATTAAACACATGAGAGTGTTATCAACTCCTCTATCTAACTTTTCTTTCTTTTTCTCACTGAAACCAAACAGCATCTCTGCTATGTCTTTTCTATCTTTCTTCTCAATCAAAATGGAATAGTCCATTATTTATGAGGTATTGGCAGGGTGTAACAATCATGTAAACTAAGGAATAAGTAGAATTGTAATATCATGTTCCATAAGTAAATGTACTTTGGTGTTTGGACATCTCAAATATTTCAGGGTTTTTTTTTTCATATCTGCAAATTTATTGGATTTAAATATTTTCATTATTAACTTTTAACTAATTGTTCTTCTACCTTTATTGTTACTTTTTATTGTGATAAAATACAACAATGAAAATATTTCATTCAAATAATTGAAAACTATTTATATGGATTGTCATTTGCAATATATTTTCAAATGACTTATTTCTGAAAGTGAAAATTATTAAATTTACTTTTTGTTAGCAAACCTTCACACCTCAAATGCTTCAAGTATCAATAAAAAGAAAGCCTCAAGCAAAAGAAGTGTTCTAATGGGTTTTTTTTAAATAAATTATACTGAATATCAACCTGTTTCCAAATATAGAATTACCCATTTTTTGTTTCCTTAATGAATAAAATAGTTATGATGAAGCAGAATATTGTAGCTAAAAATCACAAAAAACAACAATCTATGAAACTTAATAAAACAATGAGATGTTTTCTCATAAAGAGATTCAAATTTAAGTGGGAATTGCCCATCTCTTTATGAGAAAACATCTCATTGTTTTATTAATGTGCACAAGAAAAAAGTGACACTTATTTTGCTTATTTTTACTCTTGGCATAAAGTGTATATATTTTTTATTTAACTACATATAATTTTTAAAACATTTTGTTTTCAATATATGTAGGCCTACCTATTTTAAATAAGCGTATATTTCTTTGAATAATTGAAACAATTTGTTTGCCTAAAAACTGTTTTACTTTGATGACAAAGTTTCTGATAGCAAAATGAAAAGTGAAATATAATTTTATTGAATTATTCATATTTCATGATTCACATCAATTATCATCAGCCAATTATTCATATTTCATAAATACACTTCAATTATCATCAGCCAATTATTCATATTTCATGATACACTTCAATTATCATCAGCCAATTATTCATATTTCATAAATACACTTCAATTATCATCAGCCAATTATTCATATTTCATGATACACTTCAATTATCATCAGCCAATTATTCATATTTCATGATACACTTCAATTATCATCAGCCAATTATTCATATTTAATGATACACTTCAATTATCATCAGCCAATTATTCATATTTAATGATACACTTCAATTATCATCAGCCAATTATTCATATTTAATGATACACTTCAATTATCATCAGCCAATTATTCATATTTAATGATACACTTCAATTATCATCAGCCAACTATTCATATTTAATGATACACTTCAATTATCATCAGCCAACTATTCATATTTAATGATACACTTCAATTATCATCAGCCAATTATTCATATTTCATGATTCACATCAATTATCATCAGCCAATTATTCATATTTCATGATTCACATCAATTATCATCAGCCAATTATTCATATTTCATGATTCACATCAATTATCATCAGCCAATTATTCATATTTCATGATACACTTCAATTATCATCAGCCAATTATTCATATTTCATGATACACTTCAATTATCATCAGCCATTATTATTTCATCAGCCAATTATTCATATTTCATGATTCACTTCAATTATCATCAGCCAATTATTCATATTTCATGATTCACTTCAATTATCATCAGCCAATTATTCATATTTCATGATTCACTTCAATTATCATCAACCAATTATGACCATTTATTTTTCAGAAAGTTAAACAAAATTTTTTTTAAAATTTGTTTGCCACTACAGTTCATCAATAAGTTGAATATATCAAGATGTCTGGAAATGGCACCAAAAACTATTCTTCAAGTCAAAGCAAGATTAAAATGGCGGTGCCCATAATTGGAATTGACAACAACTGTTTAATTATTTTAACATCCAGACACATCAAACTGATTATAATTGGTGGAATTTAAAACTCCTACTTTGATGTTTAAGACTATTTTATTTCATCAGGTGCCAAAGTTTCCCTAAAATACTAAATACATGAAGACAAGAGTAAAGAATGAGGAACTGGATAAAGCTGCTCAGACCTTTGGGTTTTGTAGCCACATTTCAAGACGTTGGGCAGCTGTCAACCTAATTTCTCCAGATCCACAAGTTGCTGTCATCAGACGAATTAGATTTCGCGTTGAGCCATCCATTGGTTGACGCTTGTTCAGTTGTTCTCTCACAATCTCCAAAACGTCAGTTTCAATCATTTCTTGCTGGTAAGTATACCTAAAAAATATATAAAATGAATAAATTGAAAACACTTTCTACATGGGAAAATTTTTTTTTGACTAGATGCAGACAACATTTCATATGAGGAAAGATCAAAAAAAGTTCAAAACGGACTCAAAGTTAGCACATATTTTCTAGAATCAACAGGATTTATTTTAATCACTTTGTTAGGACAAACTTTGTGCTGACAAACAAAAGGAGTAAAAAAGAAACAAAAACAAAGCAATAAAGTTACTAATGTCTGAAGAATTGAGTACCAACTTACAATAACTTTATTCTCTGCTTGGTAACAAGTCCAAAAAAAAAAAAAAAAAAAAAAAAATAAAAAACTAAGAGCTGTCATACACTTGTGCAGCTTTTCAATTTAAGAACAAAATTCAAATTAATTTTTATATTTCAAAACTACAAAGAAATTATTTAGTTTTAAATATTGGAAAATATGGCAACTTGAGGAAATATTGTAAATTTTTAAATTTTTGTGAACTTCTTTAACATTATCATTTCTTACAAAAATATTTGCAAATATTTTCTCATGGTGTTGATATGGTGTTTGTTAACAATTTACTTATAAAGGCCAGCAATCATCCATATTCCCCAAGTAATTACTCACAACAACTCTTTTTCTCATGTGTTCCTTGATCAAATTGATAAAACCCAAATATTAGATCTGTATCTTTAATAGTTTTAAAATCAGAGCACCTGAAATGTTTCTCTAGTTTTTGCATTTTGCAAGAAATGCGAGAAAAGAAACTGTTACAGTATTTACATTAGTCGGACTATTGTCCTCATCTTTGTCGCCATATTTGTCACAACGTTTTGGCCGTTGTACGCTCCGGCCTTCTTCAGGTGGTTGGAATTTCGAACTGAACCCTTTATTTTGATCACTGGACACATGGCACAGTGGATAAAGGCGTTGGTTAGATCCAGTGACTGACCCAAAGAAGGTGAGTTCAATAACTGGTTAAGGCAGTGGAGAACTTTCAGAGGGAAAATTAGCAGGAGATAACTGATAACTGACATCCATCAAACATGGCATGTGGAACAAGAACAGTCTATCCAGTGATCGAAATAAAGGGTTCAGTTCGAAATTCCAACCATCTGAAGAAGGCCGAGCGCATAACGGCCAAAAACGCGTTGTGACAAATATGGCGACAAAGATGAGGACAATAGTCCGACTAATGTAAATACTGTACATAATACCTCATCTCAGAAATATAGACAGACTCTGAAGAAACTGTTTATATAGAATTTACAGCTACATCTAGCCAGCACAACTATAAATTGATGAGATCTTGATGCCAATCTACTACTGCATTTAAATTCATGAAATTTAGGTGCCATAGCGAAGAGCTCATCTGAAAAACTACCATGAAAGTATTTATAAAAAAAAAAAAAAAAAGCACAGACAGGCAACCTTAGGGCAGTGGGAAAGTTACTGAAGTTGAGTTGCCAGATCAGGACCAATAGTATTGCTGATTCTTTGGATTTTATCAAGGTGCTCAAGGTAAATTACAGGGTCCCTGGACCATATGTGGCAGTAATATATAGTAGTATATATAGTAGTATGGATGAATGGTAAACTTATAGATGTGTAAGATAGATTCTGGAGAAAAAAATTATCTTGCACAACACAGTGAACCAACTTTTTTAGCAGCTGACCTAGCAGTAGATTCAATATATTCTTCATGTCAGCTGAGAATGTTAGCCTGAGAAAATGGTTAATGGTGCAAAGTTCAGTTTTGGAAGCTATCTTTTACCCCAATTAATGATGGACTTATTTTGGACATCGGATGCCATTTTGACCTTGTCAGACTGATCAGCCTTACTAATGAGGCATGAGTAAATGGTTGTGTCATTCGTTTAGATGCCAAATTGAGAGCTGATATAAATATATTCTTAATTACATAGAAAGATGCCACAAAAGACAATTCTAACAAATATTCCTCCTCTTTTGTCATAAATTATTCTCGATTCTTACATTTTGCAATTCTCATTTTATTTTGAAAAAAAATAATGCTCATAGGATGGTGATGATTTTCCATCTATTTGTTAGGGAGGTAGTAAAAAATACAACAGGACTTTCTTTTGTCCAGTTTTTAACTCGTTTTATTTGGGCATCAAATAAAGAGATGAATGTTGAACAAAGGATTGAGGCTACATTATTTCAAAATAGTTTGTGAAGATCGTCTTTTTTCTCCTACCATCAATTGATTTGTTGTATCATATTTAATTTCATTCTCATCATTTCAATGGCAATTTCAGTTTTGGGAACATGCCTGAATGATTCAATGTTCTACCAAAATGTGAAACTAGTCACTCAGTCAATGTAAATTACAGGTCACACAGCAACAAAAGTTGCACCTTCATTTATTGAAATATTCATAGAAATATGAGTTAATTTTTTCTTATTCAGTTTATTAAACAGGTTGTTAATTTTAAAACGGAAAATAACTGGGTTGAAAATAATTCACTAAGAATTTAAACGATCCTAAAGCAAGGAAAAAGAAAGAAAGGAAAAAGGAAGAAAGGAAAGATAATAACAAAAGGGGGAAAGAAAGGAAAAAATGATATCAAAACAGGCCGCTGGGTGTGGACCAGATGTCGGTCAGAGCCTTTTGACTGACCTTAATTTTTGTTGAAAGAATTTTATCTCGTTTGACCGACATTTTAAATGAGAAGCTTATCAAAATAACTAAAAGGTAACTTTTAAATTAGAATGATAGAAATGAATTTTACTTTAGTCAGAGAGAAAGTGTCTTTGGGTTGGGGAAGTGACTACGATATACGGAATTGACCTGTTAAGAATTGGACACCCACGTTAGAAAAGTAGAGATATTTCGGACCTAGATAATTAAGATTTTCAGGACTAAGGTAAAACAGAAGTAAAAAAAGAAGAGCAATTGTTTTGGACCACAGAGGGCCAAGAAGGCGGAAAGAACCTTTTCTAAAGTTTGGCGGGCTGTTTCCTGAAAGAAAGCTAAAGATTGTCCATCGGATTTTGTTTTTTTTAAAAATTGATTTGCCAACAAAGGAGAGGGTGTTCGGTCAATAACATAATACAATCACGTGACAGCGGAAGAAGAAGGAAAGAAAACCTCGATCAATAACTGTTGGACAGGCGGTCATTTCAATGCGGAAAAGAAGAGAAAGTAAAAGGTTTTCGATTGGTTGAGAGCGATCACCTGACATGAGAGAGAGACTAAGAGAAATAGATGTCGCCGCCCAACCAAAGCTCTGTGAGAAAGTAGGGTGAAAACAATAACGATAATGGAAAGTCAAAATTAAAACTTTTGGAAGTTTGTTGCGGCGTCAATATCAGGACCCCTGGTCGACAGAAATCAGTTTGAGTTGGAGAAAGTTGGGCTGAGTTGCAGCAGGACCGCGGGCAGGGGAAGACAGCGGACATACAGAATAAAAAGAACCCTCAGACAGAAGGACTTCCAGGTTGACAGAAGAACTTCCAGCCCAAGTAGATGAAAGGAAGATTGCCTGAAAACCTGAGAGCTGAAGAGTTGGAGCTGAAGTTGAGTTGAAGTTGGAGTTAGGTTGGGCGTGAGTTGCAGTTCACCTCGGACGACAGAAGAATCCTCGAAACAAGAAATCCTTCCAGCCCAAGTTGAAGACAAGAAATCTTCCACGAATTGAAAAAGAAATCTTCCACTGAATCAAGCAAGAAATCTTCCACTGAATCGAAAAAATCTTCCACTGGAGTTGAAAAACAAAGAAATCTACCAGTCTAAACAGAAGAAGAAGAAGAAATCAACTCATTCGGAGAGAAGAATCAACTACGAATGATCGACAGAAATTAGCCCCAGTGTCGAACTGAACCACCTCCGACATACATACATGATTCTAGAAAGTAGGTAATTCGGACATTTTCCTAAGCTTGGTTAGTCCACAGAGCGGGTCGGGAATGAGAACACTTTTGGTAACGGACTTTAAGATATAAAAAGGTTGTTACCCTTTTATCAACAATTTTGTTGGTGTGTGAGTTTTTATTTTATTTGTGTTTTGACCCCGTCGGACTCAACTTGTATCGCCCCGATCCCTGCTGGTCCGTCTGTGTCTAAGATCTAAAAATAGACAGGTGATCGGTATAGTTGCTTTAGTGACCAGGTATTGGGTGTTCGGGTGAGGCTGGTGATCATCTGACCAAAGGGTTGGATAACCGTAACCAAAGGATCACTGGGCCAAATGTTAACCGCCACAAAGATTATTCATGCATTTACGGTAAGATGACCTCTGGTTGGTTGGCAACACATGTCAAGGATAAAGCCTACAGCCATATCACATTGAAACACTGGTTTCATTAAGCAACATCAATTTACCTAGATGGATGACAGCTTGAAAATACCAGGTGTTGTAAGCGTGGGTGTGTGAGTGGTGTAATGGATAACAGCTCAGAAATGTTAATCAGAGAGCTAAGTTTCAATTCTCGTTGGGTTATTACCATTCCAAATACCCTGGGAAAGGCATGAATCCACCTCTTCCACCATTCCACCCTGCAATAGGTTAATTAATAAGACTTGTATCACTAAACCATTATTATCTCCAAAAATAAAATTTCAGACAAACTATTTAGATTTTAGCATTAAATAACCCATAAAGATTGATATGCTGCTAAACAAAATCAACCAATCAACATCAGGCTGCATTATTTCAACTGATAACCTTAAAGTATTTATTTCAAAACATCTGATGACCTTAAAATACTTCGTGCTAAAAAGGCCAAAATAAACAAATGCCCTACAATTGTACGTGTTTTTTTTACTGACAACTGCATTATTTCAAGCCATCTGACCATTTCCAGCAATGTGGTTGTAATACCCCACACCACATACTGGATGTTCAAAAAGACAGAGAAAAACAAATGGCCAGCAAATGTTCATTAAACACAAATGCTTCAATATCCTCTAGCAAATATGGCTTATTGCTTATAGCTTATATAAGCTTCATGGTTAAAGCCACAAAGATGATGACCAATGCATGGTCAGTGAGTCACATGATTCATTGAAATCATATAGTTATATATATGTCTGATATGTCTGAACACATCATCCACAACTTTTATCTTTTGCCAAGTCAAATTGCCAACTACAAAATCTTTTGCCAAGTCAAATTGCCAACTACAAAATCTTTTGCCAAGTCAAATTGCCAACTACAAAATCTTTTGCCAAGTCAAATTGCCAACTACAAAATCTTTTGCCAAGTCAAATTGCCAACTACAAAATCTTTTGCCAAGTCAAATTGCCAACTACAAAATCTTTTGCCAAGTCAAATTGCCAACTACAAAATCTTTTGCAAGTCAAATTGCCAACTACAAAATCTTTTGCCAAGTCAAATTGCCAACCAAAATCTTTTGCCAAGTCAAATTGCCAACTACAAAATCTTTTGCCAAGTCAAATTGCCAACTACAAAAATCTTTTGCCAAGTCAAATTGCCAACTACAAAATCTTTTGCCAAGTCAAATTGCCAACTACAAAATCTTTTGCCAAGTCAAATTGCTAACTACAAAATGAAATCAGCAATATTGACATACTGGCTGAAGCTGGTACTTTTGTTCTGTTCACACCACTTTGAAAAAAGCATGAATCTGTTTCTCCCTGTACTATGCTTTTACCAATTATCCTGACATATCTTGTCATAAGCTTGCAACATTGGTTGCCAAAAAAAAAAAAAAAAAAAAAAAAAAAAAAAAGTATTCTCCTATAAATATCTTTACCTGCCGAAGCAGTGAGAACAAAAAGCTGTTATACTCATTGTCAACCTTATCAGAGTACATTTTGTTAAAGAATTAAACTGAGGAAAAAAGATGAATTACTGATATGCAACCACATGTATAGTTTTATATTTCATAATCAAGAATTAAGAATTATAGAAATGTGTTGTCATGATAAAATCCTTCAAAATATCGAGAAAACTAGTAAGGACGAAATTAAACTGGTAATTTCAATCTCAAAGCAGATAAGAAATACAGCATGTCTTGTCAATTTGTAAATATTTTAAGTTTGAAGAAGAAAACATTCAATGTGATGAGCCTTTACCATGGAGTAAAAGGTGAATTATAAGCATCTGCAAAACCAGACTGTCACTATAAATACTTTTCTCTTTGCTATTTTACTACTTTTCAGATATTGCATGACATTTGTCTTAAATGGTTTAAAAGATTTTTGTCCAATCGTCTATTATGATAAGATGTGTGCTTAGTGTTGTGACTAACAGTGCCAAAATTAGAATGGATGTGTTGAGATCGAATTTTAACCAAGTTAGATGTCTTAGCATTCACACAAATACCCTTGAAAAGGCATGAAACCACCTCTTCTGCTCGGCAGCTCCCGTTATCAACAAGTCAGACTGCATGCTCCCTAACCTTTGGCAGTAACCAGTCTAGGAAAAGTTAACTTCTGAATTCCATCAAGAGCGATGGGCATTGTCATAGTATTTTATCTTAGGCACTGTTGTTATGGCCGCATTTAAGCCATAGAGATGGAGTCAAAGATGTTCCAAGTGCAATTTGTACAACGATTTCAATTTCTCTGCCTATAGCCACTGCTCTAAGCTCACATCCCAGTTTATTTCAATAAAGAGAAAAATCTATTGTTTCTTTAAATGAATTCATTATTCTGAACCTGAATGCTTGTGTTTTATAAATATCTTGCCTGATGAGGTAGTAGGAGCAAAAGCTGTTACACTCCTTGTCAACCTTATCAAAAAAAACTTTATTAAAAACTTAAACTGAGGAGAAAGGATGTTTTGTATTTCATAATTAAACAAGAATTAAAAAATGTGTTGTCATGATAAAATCCTTCAAAATTTCAAGAAAACTAGTAAAGACGAAATTAAAATGGCAACTTCAATCTCAAAGCAGATAAAAAATACAGCATGTCTTGTCAATTTCTAAATATTTTAAGTTTGAGTAGGAGGAAAAGAAAATATTCAATGAAATGAACCTTTACCTTGGTGTAACAGGTGAATTATCAGCATCCCCAAAGCCAGATTTCAGACTGTCACTATCAATACTTTTCTCTTCATCTTCACACACACTAAGTGAAGGACTTGCTACCAGGGAAAAAACAAAAATTGTTTAAATTACAAATCAAGTTTTAAAAAAATAAAAAACAGAAAAGAAGTAAAACAAAAAAAAAAGATTAAAAAAAAAAAAAAACAACTTACAATTTCCAGACTGTTCCCCAGACTTGGTACCTTCCGCAGCAGACAAAAGTTTATTTTTGGGAGGAGACTTCGTATTGAATGCTGTCAAGATATTCTCCACAAATTCTTTACATTCTTCACGGTCAACCCAAACATGTTCACCAAGGGAATCCTCTACATAAACCTGTTCAGGTAAGCAACAGAAAGAAGAAATTCAATAAAGAAATGAGGATACATAAGAAAACAAATGTGAATGAAAACAGTCTTTTCTATATTGGACTACACCATCATAATCTTTGTTCTTTGTTATATTTTGGTAGATGATTTGGTAGCGTCAATCTTCTCTCTAGATAATATGATACAGGCTGTATGGTATGAAGAGTAAGGGAAATTTTCCAATTTGACTGCATCATCATGGTATGTCAATGACAATATGAGTAATGAGAGGGGAGAAAGCACACAAAGAAAAAGTAGATTCATGCCTTTGTCAAAGAATGAAAATGAATATAAATTTAAAATTTGTAAGCCAATTTATTGCCTTAAGTTGGTAAACAAAATACAACATGCCTTTTTTTAAATCATCTCACCCGAAGCAAGGCAATAAAGCCACTAGGACACCAACGGTTACTGAATATGAGTAAAACTACTATTAAGGATAGATTTAGGCTATTTTACCAGCACACCAACCCTACATGTCAGTATTAAGGAGAGAAAAATAATTAAGAAAACAGAAGATAACAACTGACATTACATTTCAATTTTTGAAGATCAAAATTGATTGGGAAGCAAGAGGGCAAAAGAGAGTTCCATGAATGAGAAGTGCAAGAGAAGAAACTGTTAACATAGAACTTACAGTTACATCTAGCAGCCATTTCAGCTGTAAAAGGATGAAACCTTGCTGCTAATCTAATACTGATCTTAAATTCATATGTCAAGTTACCATAGTGGAATGTTCATCAGAACAATTACCATGAAAGTATTTATAGAAAAGGTACAGGGAAGCTATGTTATGGTGGTGGAAAGGGGACTGAATCAAAGAATCATCTGGAGACTAAAGAGACAATTCCCTTGCAATTGAGAGATTTTCCCAAATATAAACACTGAGGCCATGCATATGTATGCTAGAATCTTTGCAGAAAAGTGGAAGATACCAATGAATTCTCTGTTCCAGGCTAAGTTGGTGAACAAAATGTTTCCTTGGAATTTTATGTAATATTCTAAATACAATAAATATTTTTTCTGTTAGTTCAGCCAATACAAGGCCCAAGGGCTACTCCAGGTAGAAAGCAATGGAGTGAGATTGCTGTAAGGAGATGATGAAGAAAGTAAGAAATGCATGCAAGATAGATATTAGTTGACCCTGGACTTAGAAGTGATTAAGACTGTAGGTGTCAGGAAACATTCTATTATGAGATTGTTCCACAAAGTAACAGTTCTGGAGAAGGAGCTGTTTGAATGGAACTTGCTTTTTATCAAAGGAAAAATGAAGGGAATGGCAGGTCTGAGTCATGAAGGTCCAAATCTGGTAGGACTAAAGAATGTAACTCGTCTGAACATCTGCCACAGCAATAGCAATAGTCTTTTGTCTGTGGGATAACAGTTGCAGGATTGGTGGATTTGTTTGTTTGTTTTTTTTTTCTTTTACAGCTTATCAACCTCTTTAAGGTTATTCAATAGTTTTAGATTGTAAGAATTTTTTGCAGACAATAATGATTTACTGATACAAATCCTACTAATTAACCCATAGCAGTGAAGAGGTGAATTCATACCTTTCCCAAGGGTATTTGCATATAATATAACAAATCCAACAGGTATTGGAACTTGACTCTACCATTTCCAATTCCAGGCTGTTATCCATTACACCACCCACACATCCAAGCTTATAGCACCTGATATTGCCAGGTGGTTACCCATCTTGGTACTGAGTAGGCTTGATGTTGCCTAACTTTAGTGATCATATAAGAATCAGTGTCTCAACATGATATGCCCATGAGCCTGATTGCAGGGTTTGGTTTGGTTTATTTTGTTTTACGGCATATCAACATCAATGGGTTATTTAATGCTGACAACATTTTTAGGATAGATTCGTATGAATAAAATATATATTCTTTGGTTTAGATTGGTTTGGTTTATTTTGTTTTACGAGATATCAACCTCAATGGGTTATTTAATGCTGACAAAAATTTTTTATTACTGGTAATATTTTGTTTTGTCAAAAATTTTGTTTCTGGTAATATATTTCCTTCAAAATTGTATTGCTGGCAATATTTTTTTTCAAAAATGTATTGCTGGTAATAGTTAACTATTTGCCCATAGCTGGGACCCTAACAGGTGCTACCACCCCGGGTCAGGGTGGACCTGGGAACACCAGCAATTAAGAGCTGGTTCCACTCCTCAAAACCTCCTGATCAGAGGCCCTGCTGCTGGACGTAGTTTAACGTCTTACCCAGGATGCGGATGTAGTTTAACATCTTACCCAGGATGACCTGGTTGCAGGGTGGAGAATGATTCATCACCCACAAGGCTTTTGTGTAAGTGCTTTTGAATTCTGTTTCAGGTTAACTTCTCAGAATTCTTTTTCGTTCTACCACATCACTGTCCTCTTTCCAATTGTTCAACTGATTGATTAAATACCCTAACATAAATCAATGAATTTAAAATGGAGTTTCCATTCTAAAACTTTACCTTAACAAAATCGTCTGGCCAATTATCTTCTTCACTGTAAGCAGCCATCAAAATATTGCAGGCCAAAACAGAAACAAGAGGATTTCCTTTCGCTTTGAAATTTAAGGACACATCTCGTTTTAATAAACTGCAGAATGCCTAGAAAAATTAAAACAAAACAAAATAATTATTTACTCTTTAATATTTTATTTTGTATTCCAATTGAAAAAGTTTATAAAAGTGAGCAACATGCTGATTTATTATAAGAATATATTTATATATTATTTTTCAAGATTTACAATGTTCATTTATTCTGTGTTTATTTAAATTCATATGATTACTTCATACACATTATTATGGCTGAAATAATTTCAGTTGGCATGGTCTGGTTACTTAGAGCCCAATGAATTTGAAGCGATGACAATTACTGTTGTCATGAAAAAGAGGTACCAAAATTGATTATTGACAATTTGTATTGTTATATTTCTTTTAAAAATCTGCAGTTTCAACAAGAACCATAATCTTTTTCAATATCATAGATTCATATTAAAACAATTAATAAACCTTAAATCTACAATCATTTGATGAGAGCCAATGATTATTTTTTATGGCTTATCAACTCTTTATGGGTTATTTGTCACACCAACTGTAATAATTCTTTTTTTCTTTTGGCAAAGCAAATATATAGCATTAACAATTTATACTTCATCAATAATGTATCATTGATAATCATTCAGTAATAATGTATCATTGATAATCATTCAGTAATAATGTATCATTAATAATCATTCGATGATTGGTATAGAAACCAAATAAGATGTGAAGGAAGAACATTTCAAGTATTTTCCTACCTCAGTGACTAACTCGCTGAGAAACATGGATGGTTTAGACTTGACCAGATACATCAGGCTAAGATAAAGGCAGGGATCAGGCTTAGAACGAGTGGAACGTAAAATTTTTACAGCACCACACAGCAAACCTTCCACTCGTTCAACATCATTGTTTTCAGAGGCTTCCTGAATTTCACCAAGAAAATCAGAAGGATCAACTGAAAATAAATAAAAAAAAATCAATCAATTTTTTTTTTTTTAAATGTTTGGTATATTGAATATTTGCAGAAGTCATCAACCATTTTATTTTTTTGTTTTCTTTCAGATCCCTTCAGAAGTATAAGGATGGAACCCCCCACACTAAGTCATACTACTGTCACTTCATTTTTAATTGAATTTTTATGAAGCTAAATCTGAAAACCTTATATAGCTAAAGGGTGCCAATAGCTAAAGAGTTCAAACTGCCCTAGGAAGAGAGATGGACTTATATCATACTCATGGGCATTAGTGAAAAGTAAACCAAAACTGTCCCAGCTAAAGTTTGAATCCTTTTCACCAATTCCATTCTCCATGCTGTTAAACAATATGCCACCTACACCCTCCACAGTTTACTATTAGTGAGGAATACCTAAAAAAAATTTTTATTTGATCCCAAAATAAGACAGGTTTCATTTTCTTACAACTCCTGAACCCCCCACCCACCTCATCCAGAAAGATTATTTTGAAACTGGAATTTCAAATCACTTATATTTCATGCAACATAAAATTATTGCAACATCTTTTTTAGTAATATCTTCCAATCTATGTACGAGTAAATACTGGTTCTTAATTACAAAATCTATTGAGTTCAATGAGAATAAATTTCTCTGATATCACTCTATACAGGAATCAGTTTCAAACACTGTGTGAGAATAGACAGCAATTGGTGAAATTTCTTCTATACAACCTGGCAATGTGTGATGATGGCCAGCTCACATGGACAAAATTTCACCTACACATTTTATTTCTTGACTGTATTACATTTGTGTGCAAACACTATCTCTATTTTGTGAAAGTTTTACTTTGCTACTGTCTTATAATTGCTTTGTTTTGCATTACATTCTCTTATCTCATTATTTTGACTTCTTGTTCTTTTTCCTCTTCTTATTGTTATTGAGAATTTTGTCAATCTCCATTAACCATGCCCATGTCTTCAAGGGATTTACTTCAAACTGAAGATATGAGCCTAAACCAAAAGTTTTGAGGTTGACTTATGTTTCACATTGAATTATATATTACAATTTATGGTAAAGTTCAGCATTAAGTAAAAAAGATATTTTTTATTGATGTAAATATTTCAGAAAACCAAAAAATGTTCATATTTGTATTTAACCCTTTGAGCCCTGTGTTCCTGAACAATTTTAACCCTTCTGCCTCCTGAGCTCCAAGAGTCAAAATTCACAAATTTTCACAGTAGATATAAAAATAGTTACAAGTGTTTATCCACTGTTCAACCGGTGGCTGGGCATTACACCATTTTTCTCTACACCAGTAAAGCAGTGGTCAGGGCTCAAACAGTTAACATTCAAGATGTCTAGAAGAAAAAAAAAAAAAAAAAGAAAGTAAACTTCTAAAAGTTTATAAACTTTTTAAGTTTTGTTTCCTTGTTACAATTCAAATTATGGCCGAGTCAATCATTCCTAATTTTAAACCACAATATTCAAAATTCAGATTATAAACAAAACCTATCACTTTGGCTTCTAAGGATCAAAAGATTAAAAAGAAAAATATAGTGAATTACCTTCAATAGCAGACTCTTCATATAATGGCACCTGCACAATGGGTGAACTCTTTTTTTCCAATTCAGAAGGACGTCCTAATGTGAATGTACCTCCAAGGATTTTTGGCTTCTTTGCCAAACTGACCGTTACAGAGGTACTACTGTCGCGTTTACGGTCAGCACTTGGCAAAGAGGCCACATGTTTCTTCCCGCTTGCACCAGATGCAACCCGTAGGTCAGAATCTGAAGACGGTTTGGTCTGTTTGCCAAGTGCAATAAAATCTCCAGGTGGTGGTAGAACTGGAAATGAAATGAAAATTGATAAAAAAAAAAAAATAAAGTGTTGTCAATTTAATAGTTTTCTATTTTCTCTACATGAGAAATGTCAAAAATGAATTTTCAATACAATTTCATGACTTACAAGAGATGAAAGATTAGAAAAAAAATAAATATCAGTGCATAATTCCAAGGTGAATAAGAACAATGATTTGATGACTTATTTAAACCAGTTTCTTTTGTCATGAGTCACAAAACCCATTAAGAATTGTAAGGAAACCACATGTATTGTAGCCATAATAGCAGTGGTGTGTCTTGGGTAGGATATCCTGATGGAGCCCATCCATCTTCAGGTTCTTCACCATTTTCTTAAAGACCAATTAAAGAATATCAGAAAATGTATAAGTCAAAACTAATTGCAAGAAAGATTTCAAACAATTCTTAGAATAACAAAAGATTTTCTTTGATAATGCCAAGAGAATAACATAGAATCTACATGCGACATATAGCATCAAGTATTATCTACTTCTGAACTGATTAAAGTTGCTTTATTTTTTCATCTTAATCAGTCCAAGTGGGATTGAACCAGAAATCTGCCAACACCTTAACAAAGCAAAGCTTAATATTACCAGACCAAGCAAAAAGAAAGTAAGAGATCTGCAAGGAGAGAGAAAAACCAGAGAAAGTAGCAAATATCCCAAAGCATCATTGCACCTGCAATACCAGATCACCTAGCTCCTCAGTTTCCAAAAATCAATGTAAACAGAGATTAAAGTGAATAATGTAAATACAGTAAATAGTAATATAGTAGTAGTAAAACAGTTCAAGTACTACCACTACTAAATAGTCAATATAAAGAGGCATTAAGAATAAAGGTAAACAGAGAAATACAGTTTAAAAATCTCTTTATAAGAACAGATTTAATGACCAATATGGCATAGGTATTGATATTTGAAATAAATTTAGATTTTATGGAATAAAATATGAGCATGAATCTTATTTGAAATAATTCTTTTATTTTGAATTGTCCCAATTGAAAATGTTATAAAACAATCTGGCATATATATATATATATATGTATTTCTAAATGGGCCAATTGGTTTAAACAAAACTTTTTCAATGTTTTATGCATTTTGCTTAAGTTTCCCCCAAGTGGAAAGCTTAAGAAAAAAAAAAGGTTCTGTGAATTTTAAAGCAAATTATGACATCATTACTTGAAGTTTTAGTAACATGGATTCACCTTCATTTCAACAAAATAATAATGATGATGCGACTTCCATTAAGAAAATGTCTAATACAAAGTACCTTGCCCTCAAAAAATAGAGATGGATTTGATGAGGTCTTAGGTTATATCAACAGTATAACAGAAAGCATTTTCAATTTTTGGTATTCACTCAGCCCTTTATGTCAAACCAAACTAAGTTCAATTAAAAAAAAAAAAAAGGCACAATATTACTATGTAAAATTTTTAAAAATAATTCAATAAAACACCCATGTTCAAAATAATTAACTTTTCATTAAAAAAGAAAGAATGGAACACCCCTTTTAACATTTTAATGTTTATACAGACATTGTAATTAAGCTTTAAAATATTAACAAATTCAATATTAAAAAAAGAAAAAAGTAGTTATATGAGTTGAACTCTGCCTTCTTAGGGTCTTGATGTAAATTTGGAAAGTCATTGTATATGCCAACCAAGTAACAAATTTAAATTTCATTAGAAACTATTTTGTTAGTTCCAATCAATACTGCTTATTTAAAAAAAAAAAAATGATTGTACCTATGACTTTAAAGTCGCCATGAAAATAAAATGAAAGAAAAACTCAAGAAATTTGGAAAACTTAAAATCAACATTGTCTGAAAATTTAAGAATTCTTCATATTATAGTTTTTAAGAATTCTTCATATTATAGTTTTTAATCACATTCTTTAGTATTCTTTATTTGGTTGTGTTTTGTTGTTGTTGTTTTTTTTTTTACAGATAATTCTAGATCTTATTGTTAAAGATTCTTGCAAATAAAATGGTTAATCTAAAAAAAAAAAAAACCATCTGGTCACACATACCAATTGAAATAACACATTATTCTTTTTTGATAGAAATCTAAAAAAAAAAAAAAAAAACAACTTTCCCTCACCTTGAAGAAAACAAAGAAAATAAGAATACATCAGTTGAAATATAGCGACAAAAACAATAAAGATGATGATGTTCAACCAAATACATCCTGAAATAATAGACTTAATTATATTTGTTGATCCAATAAAGGCAGCCTACTAAATATTTTTCAGTATTACTTCCATGTTTAATGCTTTAGAATTGTTTCATGGAAGACAAGGTCAGTACTCTACCATACTAGAGATGGTTTTTATTTCTTATAGTACCCAGTTTTGCTTTCCAAATTCCTTACCTCATACCAAGTAAACTTTTTTTAAAACATTTATTCATAAAACACAGAGTAAGATGTTTTTTACTTTATAAGGTTTACTTGAAATTAGATCAGAATTATCAATAAATTTTCATATGGAAATTAAAAAATAGAAATTAAAACAATTTTGAAGTCAATACATTGTTCTAATGTAAGTTGAGTTCAAAATTTAGTTTTAAGTCAATACTTGTTGTATTAGTTGACCTCTTTGCTCACCAAAGTGATAATCAATAATATCAATTATGTTGTATCAACTCCAAGAAACAATGCATGGTGTCGGGTAATTTATTTATACTGCATTTTTATTATAATCTCTATGTTAAATAATTGCCTTAAAGATTTGTGATAGCCTTTTGGAATGACCATAAGAGATGTTTAAAATGGGGTGTTTTACATGCAGTCTTTTGCTCAAACTCCAGGTTTTTAAGAAATTTTTTTTCAAGCTTCAACTTGTATTCACCAATTGAAAGTAAGTTTCACTTTGCTTTCATCATTTAAATTACTTGGACCGTTATTCTCATCTTCATTACCATATTTACAACAATTCGGTCGTTGTACGCTCCAGCTTTCTTCAGGTGATTGGAATTTCGAACAAAAGCCTTTATTTCGGCCACCAGGTAGCTTGTTCTAGTTCCACGTGCCATGCCTCTTTGGATGTCTCAGTTATATTCCTTTAACTCAACTCTCCAAGTTTTGGTTCACCACTGCTGTGGTCTGGTCTTGAACTCACAACTCTAACCAACGCCTTTATCCACTGAAGGATACATGGCCAAGTATATAGAGATATAGACAGAAGTTTCCCTTTGATTAGTGAAAAACCAAACAGAAAATAAGAAAGACTAGCTGTATTTATTCTTCTGCTGATTAACATAGGATGAAATCTAACACCTGATTGGTTTTGCTGACAAAATTTTGTTTTATATCATATCAACCTCAATGGGTTATTTAATGCTGACAAGATTTTTATTAGTGGTAATATTTTATTTCAAAATTGTACTGCTGGCAATAATTTTTCCAAAATGTATTGCTGGTATTAAAATCTATTTTTAAAATTTCGTAGTGTTTTGGCCCCTTTTTTTGTGTGTTGGTGGTAACTATTCGCTCATAGCTGGGACCCTGACAGCAAATGTTTGTACAAAAGCCCAAGATGTATCAATGCCATTATTTAACAATTCAGAATAAAATCCACCTCTCATGATTTGTTTTTTCATCCCAATGTTTCAGTAGATGTATTCTTTGGCCTGTATAAAGCGTACAGTTCAGATTTATGCCTTTTCTCTTTTATAGATGAGTTTACATATAATAAACTTTATTAGATGCAGCATTTGTCCAAATTTATGAAATGAAACATGTCTTTATTAATTTCTAACTATTTTGCTTTCATTTTAATATTTAAGTAAATATCAGGTGTCAGAAAGAAGTGGACTCTGATGAAATCTGAACCCATATCTTATATCCTTGGGGTAGCTTATCCAATCTGGACAATATTTTACAGATTTAGCCAGCAAGCAAAGTTCAAATTTAGTCATATAACTACATTCTTAAACATTTTCCTGCATGGAATATTGTTTGCTTATATCTGATGATAGGAAATCTACAGACATTCTTAGGTTATTTGTATTCCTTTGAAGCATATCTTCCTTCTTGATCTGAGTGTGAAAGATTCCTGCAGAGGAAACCTACTCATCAATCTTGTTGAGTAGATAGGTTTGCCTGTCGTCCGGTTCACACTCCTCCCTGGTCTTTTGAACAGGAGGTTTATCTATTGTTTGCTGTTTAAGATTGGGTTTCCAGTTCCTTCTAAAGACTTCCCATTCTCTTTCACTCTCAGTAGCTCCTTGAATCTTAGTGGCTTTATTGCCTTGCTTGAGATGAATTAATTAAAAAAAAAAAAAATTCTCCCTGTACAGACATGAAAAAATGTTATTTCTCAGCTATGGAAGACCCTACCGACTATCTTTTTGCTCAATAGCATTGAATTTTAAACAAAGCTTGCATATAGACAGCTCTTTGAGACGTAATCTAATTTTAATGATGTAAGTATAAATCCTTCACACACAGATTTAGAATTATTCCTCACAAAAACAAAACAATTGAATAAACTAAAGGAAATTTAAGGAAAAGCTAATGAATCTATTTGTTAAAATGATAAATGATAAAAAAAAACAAAAACAAGGAAGGTCTTCCATATAATGTAATTAATGCAAAGTAATTTGAATAATTCCATTTAACTAGTGTGAACTAATGAAGATGCTCTACAGAGGGCACATTTTTTAAGAAGAGCAAACAAAAATCTTCCATTAATAAGTTGAGACCTTAAAATTCTATCCTGGTGATTCTGTAGTTAGAAAAAAAAAAAAAAAAAACATTAAGCAAGTTTGAAAGACATGATGAAAGCTGAAGAAGAGATTGGCTGAAACATTATAGGAAAAATAATGAAGATGAAACAAAAGTCAGTAAAACATGAAATACCAACAATACTTCATCTTGACACTTCAGGAAACAACTTGTCTGAATAACAACAAGTCATTTGAGTTTGAAACAAAATTAGTAAAGAGTAGTATTTTTTCCCTCAAATCCCTTTTGCATTTTATAAAATCCA